AATAAATAATTAAAAAAGAACATGATTGTTGTTTTTTAATTTTAATTTGAAATTCATTTGTACTTTTTTGAAATTTTTGGGAGAATAGTTATAATTTTTTTTTCTTTTCTTTATTTTTGTTTTATTTAAAAAGGGTGGTATATTTGTCATTTTTCAACTTTTAATTGAGAAATGGATGAAAATGATGGTTTTCAAAATAAAATGTAAAAAATAAGGATGAAGATGTCGAAAAAAATGAAATATATGGACGTTTTGCACAATAATATTGAAAGTTATTGACATTTTGTGCTAATTATCCTTTTAATAATTTATATGAACTTATTCGTACTTTTTAAAAAAATTTGAGAGCATGATTGCAATTTTTATTGAGTTATTCTTTTGCTTTTTTGGTTTTGTTTAAATAAGAGAGTATATTTGTCATTTTACATGACAAATTGGATGAAAATATATGATTTACGCAATGAAAAGTGAATGTAAAGATGAAAATATCAAAAAATGAAAGATATGGACATTTTGTACGATAACATTGAAAGATAATAACATTCTATCCTAATTACCAGAAGGCACTAATCTTTGTATTTTCTTCTATTTCAAAACTAAAAGACAAGTAAAAGACATCTAGAATTGAAACATGACGTCGATCAAATCGAGTCATTGCAGTCAAGCTCACTCTTACGTTTACACTCGAGTGTCAATCTCCATCCAAAAGGATGTAGCCAAATGAATTAAAATAGTGTATTCACCACGCACAAATTCTTGTCAAGTAAATAATCATCTTTAGATACTTATATTTTTACCTAACCGAGTGAAAACGTGTGGTTGAAGTGCAATGGATGATAGCTTTGTGCTTCTTCATAGAGAATTCAAATTTTCATAGTTGCATTTGATTGGAGATAGTGGGACAATTTCGATGGCTAGCTCAAAAAAGTATAAATCTTGTTACATATACATTAAGATTTATATAAAATTTCGATGGCTAGCTCAAAAAAGTATAAATCTTGTTACATATACATTAAGATTTATATAAAATTGTATACTATTATCATTTACCTATTTAAAACACACTGAACTTTTTTCTTCATCCCCCCCCCCCCCCTCATCATTTTCAATAACCGCCTATGTACCATTTTTGTGTACAAGTAACAAAATCCAAAAAGCATCTATAATACAAAATCTAAGGCTCAAAAAACAATTACCACCACCAAATCAAGCTTATGTTTTTTCAGTTCTTTAAAACTCATTTTTGTTTAAATCCATTTTTAACCCCATTCTTCTAATGAAATAATTTGAAAGTTTGCACGTTCCCTACTTTATACTACAATTTCTTTAAAAAAAAAAAGGGAAATTTTTTCACAAAATTTATTCTAAAAAAATCTACATCAACAAGTCCAAGTGATTCAAGAATGTGCACGTGCACTCGCACTCGCACTCGCACAGGCAGTAGGAAGTGCTGAAGCCATCACAAACCGACAGGAAGACAAGATTCAAAAGAGGAAACCAGGGATGGATACAGGCACTACTACCATTATAAGAATATCTCACGGCCATAAATTGAATTGGACAAATCCAATACAAGTTGCTGCTGCTGCGGCAACATTTACAGTCAGAATGGTAAGATAATAATAATAATACAAACCTCAGGAGTTCGACTGGTAAATCTAAACAAGTTTCCACACCAATGGCACATAATTTTCAAAGCCACACAAAGAATGCCGACGCCGGAGAAAGAACTCTCATCAGTTTGGAGTCCACGAAGAGAAGCAAGATCAGCTAGAAAAATAACAAGTTGAATCTTATGCAAAAGGATTTCCTCCAATTGATACAACAGGGCCTTGTGCAGGGACATTCCTGCAAGAATACCAAACAAATGATTGTGCATGGTAATAGTTTTATCCTCTATTAGTATACAAAAGTAATCACTCAAATCCAGAACCCAGCTCGTAAAAAAAAAAAAAAATTATGCATAGAAACTTCACAATTTTATCATTTGAAAGCAATCTCATCGCCAAAATTACACACTTTCTTTTTATATCCAGTGTCATCTGAAGAAGTTGGATCAATGCACTCGACCATAATATCGAAAATCACTCAATTGCCAACCATGAAGCTTTATAAAGCTTCAACACCAAGGCCAACCACGAAAGAAACAAGCCACAAACAGATTTTAACATAATGTAATAAAAAACATACAATCACTCAAATAGGGAAAAAAGACAGACACGTGAACAAAAAGAACATACGGTATCTGGTTGCTTGGTGCTTGTCCTATAAGTCCCAAAGAGCCTGCAAGGTAAACCATAGTCAGAAAGAACACATAATGAAATGTAGAATTATTTTTTTGAAGATGATGGCCATTTGGAAATGAAATACCAATGGGAGGGTCAAATGAAACTTCACCAGGAACATAGGATGTAAATGGATTTTGGGGAAACCAAGACTGAGTCACACCATCAACATCAGAAGTTGGTATACTGCTATTTGGAAGTGCCGATTGCAAAGAACTCATGTCCCAGAACTGAGACTAAACACGCATCGTCAAAATTAGAAATTATTCCCTTGAATATAAATAATGATCTTTAACTAAAAAAAAATAATAATAAATAAATAAGTAATAAAAATATCCATGCCGTGATCTGATTAATTCATACAAGACAATCGCTTAAAAAAAATGCCTCAGTATCGCACTCAGTTCTGATTAACCATGGCATCATACACCTAAGAGAGTTCCAGTTAAATGCAACTTAAAGAATGAAGAGAATAACGTAGATGCATCTCCGTACACTACATACCTCTTGAAAATATATAGGTCAAACAATGCTAGGCAACTAATGTAACAACAGAATAAAGCATCTAGATCCAACTTTTAACTAACCACATGGTATGTGCAATTACTGAGATCGTATTCAACCAAATCAAGGAAGCATGTACATCTCTTGGAGGTCACAATTCCGTGTCCTGGATGTCTGGAACACAGCATGCCCCCAATCACCAGACTAGTGTTGGACATGTTCAATAACATCAACATATGCTTCTTTCTACAATCATGCTACATGATCTATAACATCAACATATGCTTCTTTCTACAATCATGCTACATGTACATTCTCCTTTACATTAAGTTTGACACACTTCCACATGGCATCCATCATAACCATTGATTTCTATAACACCCTATTACATCACTGGCCAGATTTTGACGCATAGGGGAGAATGTCAACAACAATGTCAAGGAGAATGTACATAGAGCTTAATTCTTCTTTCTAATGTGAAAATGAAAAGGGTTGTGGTGTGTTACCACTACTTAGAGTAAAAACCTATTTTGGGAGCATGAGCACGCTGCATCATTTCTATTACCATAATTGTCAAAAGATAATATTCACTAGAAACGATGAAGGCAAAATTTGCACTCCGGACATAATTTTAAGTCAACTTTATCCAATAACCAAGTTTTCCCATCCATGGTAAGAGGGGATTTAGAGACTGGGTTATGGGGTTTACAAATTCGACCAATAGGTTTTTTCGGTTAGACCAATAATAAGAAGAATATCAATTGTGCACATTTAAAAGTTCATTAGGAAGTCGCAGCTTTAAAAGGTAAACAATACTACAGGCTCTAATCAGTAGATTTTCTAAATTGTTAGTAAATGAACTTTCCATTAATTTAATTGGCACCACAGCAGTGCACCACACATTAAAAAATCATAGGATTTATCCATCTCACAGAGGTATATGCTCCCCAAAAGGATTTACAATATGATCTAGTTAGGAGCTCTGTATTGAAAATGTAAGAAATAATCTAAATCAAACTTAGTCATGTATAGATCAAGCATAAACAAAGAAAACATCCATAATGCAGCAAAGTCAGTGTTTAGTTTCGTGGCCCGCATAAGAAACATTAGTCAACCCCACTCCTTTCTTTACAAATAAAAAACATGCACTCCATTCCATTTATCCGTAGATCTAGAAGGCAAGTCATTAAGCAAATGACCAACGAATAAAGACAGCAAACAAACCATACCATATTACTAGATTCCACGTCATAATCATCGGGAAGATCAAATGGATTGAAAGACTTGTGATTTGTCAGATTTGAATGTAATCCATCCTATTAACAGAGTGGAAACTCATCATAAATGAAAGGAGTGAACATAAATTTAAACAAAAGGTAGTCATTAGCGCAAGAAGGCTCAACCAAAGTGATAGAACAAACCACTGAAGGAAGCATGTGGAAATCATGCAACAACACACTGGCATGTGATGATATACTAGATAAAGAGGGTCCACCATTTTTTGCACTTCTTTGAATTAAATCATTACCTAGAGCCTGCAACAATAAAATACTGCAATTGAGTACAAAAAGAGCAACATATTCATCCGCATTAACAGGGAGATATTGCAACCTCGTAGTTACTAAATCCAAGATACTGATTAGCATCTGAAGTATGGAGGGTTGCGACTGGTTCACTATCGACAGTGTTCTCGATTATCTGTTCTCTTTTGGAATCTTCAAATGCATTCCATGACTGCATAATATTATAATATTATATAATTTCCATATACTTAGAAATCATTGACAATAAACAGAATCAAGTTCAAAGTAGTCTCACCAAGGCCAAACTTATTTATCTTTTTTTAAACATATGCAGAAAGAATAGCGCTTACTTGAATGCTCGCTACTTTTGGGGTTACTTCAATATTTTGTGCACCTTCATGCCATAAAGTAGACATGTCTGGAGACGGCCGATGATCAGAAGAATCCTGAGAGGATGGCTTATGCACAAGCGATTCTGAATCTATGTTTCCTAGAAAACTCCTGTCAGAAGATGGTTTTGTTGCAGAGGTAGAATTTTCAATTCCCATTGATGATGTGTTCTGAGGAATGTCAAATGTTGCCCATCCTTCATTTTTTGACATTGCCTTGGAGAATTTTCCATTGTAACATGCAGAGAATTGCTGCTGAGGCATCTCAGCGAATAAGTCTAAAGAAGAAGATGGGAGGGTTTGAGATGGTTGATGTGAAATGAGAGTTGGAACTGAAGGAATAGAAGATTGCTGGAACAAATCAACTGATTGAGCTGGAGATGACTCTGGAAATTTTGTCATACAAGCTGCTAGAGATGCAGAAGTAACATTTTGAGGTGCAAAGGGTGCACTGAAAAGATCCAAGCCATCAAAGTTCCCAGATATTGAACACTGTGGTTGAGAAGGCGTAGACGACAACTTGTTATGGGAAGTCTCAGCAGATTGTTCGGATTCTGAGGCAATTTCCAGCAAGTTAAAAGAATTTACTGATGTGAAAGGCATGGAACTGCTATCAAATGATCCAAAGCTTCCTAAAGATGCAGTTCTCTGGATTTAACGTTATTATAGAGTCAGTAAATTAGCTAAAACAGTAAGTGACAAGTAAAAATAACTAGCCAAAAAATTCATGATAATTAATAGCCAATAAATAGATACCCAGTCAACATACGAACTAGATATGAGAACTCAGCTAAACAAAACCATATCTATATTACACGGATTAATGAAATGACATTGTTCTGCTGTTGCAGCATCATTAAGCAAAAAATTATCACGTTTCTCAAAATTTCTCAATTATTAATGACTAAAATGTTTAAATTTCATAAACACCCACAATTAGAAACCTACTTATATTTAACTACGAATAACAAGTGTAAAATATATTGATAATGTACCAATGGAGGTGCAATTCATGTAGAAAAATCAAAAATTCGTTTTTCCATCACTAGTAAAGGTGTACACCAACCAGAAACTCACATAAGAGTTTTAATAACGTCGATTTGTCCATAAACTAAATGAGGGTAAACAAAAAGAATATACAAATTTAAGATCATTTTTCAACTTCTAAATTGTCTTCCAAAATTTTAACCATAACTTGTACACTGGAATTTAATTAAAAAAACACAGTTTAACATCACCCGGAAGATCGAGTCAGGCAATTTAATAAGATGGTAAGGACACTTGTACAGAGGAAACTTCAAATTTTAGTGACAAGATTAGAGAATTTTCATTTTCACCTTTTTCCTTTGCCTTCTCTTTGTTTCTTTGCTCTTGAAGGAGAAACGTTGTCATGCTATTTATTCCCATTGGCATTAATATTCTAGTTTATTTAATAGTCAGTAAGAAATGCACAAATTCTTCAAGTTTTACATGCATGCAGGAATAAGAGATCAAAGAACTCCATAATCAAAGATTTTATTATGGACAAGTATCAGAATACCAATACAAGCAGAAAACAGTCCATGGAACAACTTGTTTTACCAGAATGCATATAGGGATGAGAGAAACCTGACCTGTGGATGCAACATTCTTCCACCATTGGTGTATGCATCTGAGTGGTTGGAAACTGTACGATGCAGCGCAAATTCACTTGAACTATCTTTTGACTCTGCACTAAAGGGTCTTCCAATGTCTTTCTGAGAGGAAGGCAAAAGCACATCAGACCCCAATGAGTAGCCACCATTTGAAACAGAGTAGTCCGAAGCTCTGGGATTAGACCCTTCATTTGCAAACATGTCCTCATATACACGATCACTAGCACGGCCAGGACTCAAGAAACTAGACAGCTTTCCTCCGTACAGGCCTCGATCTGACCCAGGCTTTCTAGTGAGTCCGGAAGCATGTTTCCCATATCGACGTTCTTCATACTGAAAATCATACGGTGGACTTTGTGAATAAGAATGGTATGAACTTGCTCGCCTTGTCTCATCTTCCAGGCCTTTTGCGTTCTGACAAATCAGAGTATGATCATAATTTAGTCTTTGTTAAAGGTTGCCTGGAAATAATTGTGATGGATAAATCAACAGAAGTAAACCTAACAAATGTCTTCTCTGGAACCCTCTTTAGGATGACATTGGTCCAGAAACATAACCTGTGTATATCTTGGAGGTCTGTCAGATGACTTATCCAGGGCATATCTTTTATCCACAAAAACATCCTTAATGAAATCACGAACTTTGTTGACATTGCTGAAAGAGAAAGACATAGTTAAGCTTCCAGTTAATCAATTGACTGGTACTTTTGATCATTAAATAGATCTTGCACCTATTATCAGGAAGTCTATGCCTTTGTGGATCCCATGCTGTTAAGAATATCTCTCTGGCACGCTGAATGAGCAATTCCTCGTAAGCAAATAGAAGCAAAAAGCTGTCTATATTAGAGAAAAATGGGTAACACAGTATATGCATACCTGATTACCACCCTTTTGAAGAGCCTCCACTTCTTGGGAAGTAAACTTAGCCATAGAAACTGACTTCACGCGATGAGTAAACTCACGACTGCACAAAAATTCTCCGTCAATATATTAAGCAAAAGAAAATGATCACAATTAAAAAACTTGATCTAATGAACACCACAAGGAAGTAATCCAAGGAGATATGGCTCACTAAAAGCAAATATAGTCATGTGCATAGAATACACAAAACACTGAAGTCAACCTCAATAGCAAGATACAAATTACAAAATAATCTTCTTAAAACTTAAAAAAAATAATAATAATAAAAATAATAACATAGATGCATGGCGTGCAATAACAATATGCATACATTCACAATCATAGATTCACAATGCAGAGTTCAACGTCGTCTTCTTCTTCTTCAGAGTATATATCATTTAGAGTGTGTTTGATTGACATGGAAAATATCACCTAGAAAAGAAAATGTTTTCCATCTTTTGTGGAAAATAAAAACCACCTCTACCCAAGGAAAATGTTTTCCTTAAAAATAAGGAAAATTAGGCATATTTTCAAAAGTTGGAAAATGTTTTTCATGGAAAAAAATAGCAATCAAACACTCCAAGTAAAAATTTGGGTGGAAAATTGATATTTTCCATGGAAAATAAATGTAATCAAACACATCCCTAGTTGAATCAATCACCATAAGTAAGAGAGTTACAATGCAGGGAGAAGAAAATTGGTTTCTGCTCATGGATTATACAAATATATCACCCAGAACCCAAAGTCTGTACCCGACACATCCTCAAAACAGAAAAATAACACTTCTATTGTAATTTTCATAATTTGCAATTCATTTCTGTCTTCAAGAAACCCATAATTCTGTTTTATTTAATTCTCATACAGGTAATCATGCACAAATAGGAATAGCAGATTCTTTAATGGTGGTGAGTAATATGCACTTACTGTATTCCACTGCAAGTTATGCAAACAAAAGTCCAAAAGTTTGTGCAAACATATTGAGGTCCCTGCAGCCACAAAATAGTATTCAACTCAAAACATTAATCCCAACAAAAATATATTTGGTGCTATATAAATCCTAAAGTTTTAACAAAAAAGAACATAGGAGACGTATATTTATTATTTTAGGTTCTTTACCATTGTTTGAGGCCCTACAGCACGAATTACAAAATCATTTCTACATAAGCTTAATAATCAAGTATTGTTCTAAAAACAAAGCAGAGCAAATGTTTTCTGAAAAGCCCAAAATTACTGAATTTTTGCAATCTAACAATTAAAAATACTGTTCCCATATCTCAATCGATTAGAGGTTTTCAAAAAAGGTCGAATTTTAAAAAAAATTAAATAGAAAATTTCCAAAAATGGAACAAAATAATATTATTACCAAGCTGTTACAGTTGATGCATCTTCGATTAGGAGGGAGCTTCATGAGTCCCCTTATAATCTTCTCGTTTCGCTCCTCTTCTTTTCGGCTGCTCATTTTCCAGGTTCCAAACCCGAACCTCAAAAATCAAACTCCAAAAAATACCCAAAAAAAAGGCTATTTGAGCTCAAATTTTGAGGGAGAGAGAAATAATTAATTCAAAATTCTAGGTTTTAGTTCGTATCTTTCACGGAAATAGAAAGACCGAACTAGAATCAACCCTTTCTCTCTCTACTCTCTCACTCTAATTTTGGGGTTCAAAATTTTTTGACATTTTATTTAAAATTGGGCAATTATTGCCGTTGGAAATTGATAATGCCAGAAAGGATTCGGTTCGTTGGATTTTGATTTAGATTGTACATTGTGCTTACAAGGTTGTACTTTTGAATTGGAATGCTAGGAATTGTCACGGTAGTACCGAAAATCTAGTATCATTATCCTAGAATTGATTGTAATTATAGATATAGTCCTTTGAGTTTGAAATTATTGTAGTGAGATCCCCTTTTAATTATTAAAAAATTATAATTAATTTTCAGCTTTTTTCTATGTTTGAATTTGAATCTCATGTTACTTGTCAACCATTTATTGCTGGTTTTAGAGTGAGTAATCTATTTGAGAACTAGTTATTTTACTTAATTTCCTCATCATGATTACTATTGATAGCAAGTAAGCGACTAATTTATAATAATGTTATTCGTCTAAAGGCTAAATGATCACCAATTTATATAATAATGGAGTTACTAATAAAGCTCGAATGCAATTTTAGACATTGAAATATGTTACCTTCACTTCGTCAATTGAGCATGAGAAATTGCATATAGATAGCAAATTTTAATCTTTTAACATTCGTCTAAAGGCTAAATGATCACCAATTTATATAACAATGGAGTTACTAATAAAGCTCGAATGCAATTTTAGACATTGAAATATGTTACCTTCACTTCGTCAATTGAGCATGAGAAATTGCATATAGATAGCAAATTTTAATCTTTTAACATTTATTTCGCAAAGATGTGACATATTTTAAACTCATCTTAACAAAACTTTAATTGTTTATAAATAGGAATAGTATTTAATTTCCATGAAATATATGAACAATAAATGAATAAATATTATAATATATAACTGAATAATTGAAATTAAATCTATAAATTGATAGCCAAACGTTTGATTTTTCATGTTTTTATTTTCAAGAACATCAATTAAAAAAACATAAACAACCCATGTTTGACTGCAATATAAAGTTGATTTCTTTTTCCCAAAAAAATAAAAATAAAATAAATGTTTAAATTACTTAGTCAAGAAGTAATTCTACAGCAGTTTGAGAAGTGTTAATAAACGGATTTAATTCTAAATTATAGAAATAAATAATTGATAAGCATCCGATAAGTGTGTAGTGCTAATAAGTCCCTGTTTGGCCCCCATTATTTGAATTTATAATGGGGGGAATATTAATTTTTTGTAGATTGTGTGGTTGAAAAGTTTTCAATTTGAATGTAATATTATTTTATTGAAGATTGTGTGATTGAAAGTAGAAAAAAAAAATTAAATTAAATTAAAGAGTTTTAAAAGGGACTAAATTCTCTGAAACATGTAGATAGAAAATAACTTTGAATTTTATAAACGCATGAATCAAAGATAGACTAAAACAAAAAAGCTAATTTCACAATCATATTCATCAAAATAAGTAATTTAAAAGGAAATTTACCTCACTTTTAAACCCAAAAACATATTTTACCAATGATCCTAAAATATTAATAAAATAAGTACTCTACGTCAAATTTCATCCAAAAAGTCTTGTGGTGTTGTGCCCACAAAAAACCCTTGGCCTGGAAAGACAGATTGTGTCTTCATTCTGAGAAATAATAAAACTTTAAAAAGAAGCATTATACCATCACTTTAAATTACTCAACTTCATGCCATAATATGCCATATTCTCAACTGTGGATATAACTTTTAAGAGAGAAGAATTGTGCAGAACATATATAAAGATGTGTTACCTAAAGATTGTCATAAAATTATAGTGATCTCAAATGCGTTATCTTTTCAATAGTAGATTGTAAGCCGGCAAGTCTTTTATACTGTAGATATCATCAAGTGCAAGCTCGCGCTCTAGCTGCGCTCTTGTGGACTTGAGAACTTCCTGCAAAGAAAAATAGACAAATGACACGCCAAATCAGTGATCTAATTAATTTATCCGATACAATATAGAGGGAAACGGAAAAAGAAGGGATAGTGTTTCTTTTACGTTGAATTGCATATACGAGGCCTGCTTCGCAAGCCACTGTGCGTCCAACATTTCAAAGGTGACGCAGAAAAGGTTATCGAAGGCCATTTCATCTTCACTTAATATTTCCAGAAATCGAACTCCAGCTATAGTATTTGGCTTTGCTGTGAGAATAATGCATATTTAATAAATAACAGAAACTAAATATTATCGTTGCCAATAAATTTTATGGGCTGAGAAGGCAGAGTACCAAGTGCTCCTTAGCCTACAGTCATATTTAGCACAGGAAGTGCACATTGTGTTACTAATAAATGGGCCAATATGCGAACATTTTAAAACATATATGACTCAATAAAAGGTTTTTTCAGTATATTTTGAACTTTGCAGTAGCGTTCATATTTTATATCGGGAGGGACCAATTATTCAAAAACGGAAAAAAAAGAAGAAGAAAAAACATGCTTACTTCCTCCATTTCCAAAAATGTTACGAAAGCTGTTTGTGTTTTCTATTTTCAACCGAGACACAAAAATCAGCAAATGTGTTTATTTTCTATACAAACCATTATCTTCATTTTGTTCAATTTACTATTATGGTTGAAATATACCATACACTTCTCAAAACAAGGATAAAATTTACAAAACGCTGGATAAATACTTCTCAGGTAAAATCAGCCATAGAACCCTTGCCACACAATTCACATGAATAACAGCCATTAACTCTAAAATTTCATACCTGATTGAAGATCTAACATTTGCACCAGCATAAAAGAAATATTGATGCCAGCTACAGCAAAAGGATACTCCCATTCTGACCTGTTTCCGTCTCTCTTGTGCAACAAATTTTGAAACGCTTCCTGTCAAAAAGAGAAGTAGATAAAACTACTTTCACATTTTCAAATGACCAAATGGAGAAAAGAACAGAACGCACTTACAAAATCTCAATTATCTCAAAAGCAGATTCTTCCATCCCTCTCTAAGGATAATATATAGCATTAAACATTTGGAAAACACAAGCATAACACCAAAATTAATTAAAGAAAATTTCCCAGGCTCCTCGATCCCTCCCTTTTACAGGAAGGATTGCCCCTCCTTTTGTATATACACTAGGCAGGGCGATCCTTATGTTGTGTCCCAGTTTCACGATCAAAAAAGGCTTAGCAACAGAAGGAAAGGATATAAAGTTATATGATAAGCATCAAGCAAAATGACTGTCAAAGAATGCAAAGTTCTGATCCCAATTGAACTATCCAGAATAGTTATAGTTCCTCCACAAAGAGTAAGCCACCATTTTTTGTTTTTCTTGATACAATATGAAGTAAGACTGGCCACAGTACCAATTCCAACAAGCTTTCAGCTTGGTGCTAGAGTTCGTCATTACTTGAATTTTTCTTTCTAGTTAGATTAGGACAAAGCAAGCCGCAATATGAAGCAAGACCGTCCACAGTACAAATTCCAACAAGCTTTCAACTTGGTGCTAGAGTTGGCCACTACTTGGATTTTCATTCTAGTTAGAATGGGACAAAGCAGGACGCAATGGTGCTTCAATTATTCATATGATCCTTGTGATTCTTATTGACTAGATGCCCCAGGCAACTTAAATCATATTTTTCTAGGTGCCTCCAACTTGGCATAAATTTATGTTATTTGCCTGCTGACACAGCTAATAATTCTAATGAATCCATATATTCATGAATTACTCGGCCTGCAAAGAGAAGCTCCTATTTGTATGTAGTACTGCTAACACTCCAATTGTGATTACCACCCAAAGGTAATGTTTCATTAAGTTCTTTCTAGATAACTGCTTTTATAATCAAGTTTTATCAAGACCTCACAAAGCTCATTTATTGATTTCTTAGATTCCAGGATCTAAATCAATCTTGAAGGACACATAATATACTGATTATCTCTCCCCTTCTCAGTTGTGAAGAGATTCCTCATATTGGCTGAGCTCTCAAGTCATAAAGTATTTCTGCACATGGGACACCTATAAAACACATACAGTGAAATAATCCAAGCTGCAAGTGAAATACCTAGCGTCTGACCCAGGCCTAACATTTTGACTAGTTTAACAAATTACATTTGGGGATCGTTCGGTAGTGATTGTGAGAATTGATTTTTTGACTGTTAAAGAGAAAAGTGGGTCTCACCTGTAAGTGAAGAAGTAAAAAATGATGATTGAAATAGTGAAATAATGGTCAAAGAATTAATTTTTTGGGGTAAAAAATTGCTACCAAACAAGGGCTTGAGGACATCTCCTTCCAATATCTTTCTTCTCCCCCAGCAACACTGCCTGTGTAATCTTATCTCCTGTCCTAATATAAAGTTACTGAGATATTGACTGTTTCAAGGCAATAAACTCTTCCAGTTCAGTTCCTCTAAAAGATACTACAGGATGGGTCGTTGGGTTGGGTGAGGGGAAGATTATAAAAAAGAAAAAGGAATTTAGTTTCTGAGACATTCTGCTTTCCTCGTTTATTACTATAACAAAATTTCTCAAATTTTCTTTGCAGTTATTGTCACCTAGAATAAAGAAAATGTTTTACCAGTGCTAATTATGAAAGATACAAGGAAGTCAAGTGAATGAAGAAAATACAAACCGTAAAAGTCTTGGCAAAGAATATAAGGTTCTCCAATGATATGAATCCTCCACCCCTAAAATTTCGTCCATAATTTTCCAAATAAATACCACTTTACACAGAGTTCTAATAAAAATGACTTTCTATTCCAACGCACCTGAAATCTGTGGAAGGATCAGATCCCTGCCATCCCATCTCTTTCCAGAGATCTGATTTCAGTGCTGGGAGTTCTCTATCAGGGTAAGCTAACCTCCACAATTGTTTTAGAGCATCCTGTCAAAAATTCAGGACTGCTTAGATTTTCAATTGGCAATGTGATTCTTCTCTACTCCAAAAGTGAATAACATCACGAGAGTAACTAACTAGCAAATGAACAACACAATATTATAATTGCTTACATAAATTAATGTATTTCCAGCCCCTGTTTTGTGAGAATTAAAATTAGATTTTTAGTAGATTTTGATAAAAGTTAATGAAATGTGTAGTTGAAATGTTGTGGATCCCATAGAACGTGTGGTTAAAATTAATTGTTGACTTTGATTTAGATTAAAATCTAGATTTTAATTTCTACCAAACAAGAGCCCAATTATATAACAAATCTAAGGATGAAATGTCCCATGCCTATATAAAATTTTAAACAAAGTACTTAGTATCCTATCAGAATGTCTTGCTCAAATAGGCTTAAAAAGAATCATAACAGAGGGGACCATTCATTAAGCTAGCTGATTTTCTCTAAATCAAAATGGTATAGCAATCAAAAGCGTGATCACATCATCTATCTAGAATGACATGATCCATATGGTATAAACAGTTTTTCACAAACACAAACAGTATATCAAACATTTTGTGTTTGTCCAAATCCGTAGGAGAATCATAAACAATAAGATGCATGAGGTAGGCAACAAATATACACATATAAGAGGCACCTTTTATTAGCTTGAAATTCCATAACGAACGTGAATACTTCAACCTAATATTAAAAACGCTCTCAATCATTTTATAATGAGAAATGACTTGAAATGTCCACTTTCTTTTCTCTAATTTTGTAAATGTCGGTTAATGTCTGCCCTACATAAATAAAATCTGAATTCCTAAGTAAAGAAGAAAAGTGTACATACCTGATGCTCCAAAAAAGAACCATCAAAAGGAACTGCCAGCCTTTGCTTTAGATATTTGAGTCTTGCGTCCTATTACCAAACCAACTCAAGAATCAACAACAAAAAGAAATAAACATATAACATATTTATGTAAGAACACAAATAACTAGAATGACAGGAAACCAAGTCTTTTGAAGGTTGAATGGAGCAAAACACCATTTCAGTGCTACACCGTATTGATCAAAAAACAAAAACAAGCTTGATCTGGATAATAGATAACAAAGAAAAAAAATATTGTATAGAAGGTTCGAGTAATATCCCAAAAACATTATTGACTAGATTATTCTAGGTAGATGGCCATGGGTAAACCAAAAAAAAAAAAAATCTACAAAACCTTTTGGCTCCTCTAGGATCTATCTACTTTTTAATACATCTTTCATTGTTGCAACTTGCAAGTTCACGATTTAAAACTTGTTTGGAGGCATTTAAATTATAATTTAAATAGTGGGTCTCCAGAATGTGTAGATAAAAAGTGGATAATAGTTGTGGGTCATAAAAAATGTTTGGATAAAAAGTATGCGTGACCAAAAATGATTATTATTTAAACACCTCGCAAACAAACACTTAAATTGCACTATGTAAATATCACATATAGCGCACATCCTCTGAGAAAATCCACATTTGAACCCAAAGAGTACTTCACTATTAAAAATATATTTGTAAATCACCCAACCCGTATTACTTATTTTGAGACAAACAGACATGTTAAGTGTGCATTTTTCAACTTGCTGCATAGCCTATTCATTCCTCATGTCATGCAAGCATAAAAAAATAGCACAGAAATACAGTAATAGATGAAAATCTGACTGAAAATAATTGTATAAATGTTGAAAACAATAATATACAAGTTAAACTCATTGTAAAAATATTGTTTACAATTTATATGAAAATTACATGCATCATCACATGATTGGAAAATTCAATCAGACATTTCTCATTTTTTCATAAAAACAGAATCTATAGTCAAAATGTAGAATTCTATATATGCTACAGATACAATCACGTGCAACAAAGGCTTGGACCATCTCTGGTAAGTGGTAACTTATGAACAAAATTAAAAAGCTACACAACTAGAGAAATTGCAAGAAAGTCAGTGCTACTACTTTTCCCCCCATCTCAATGAGATAACATGCTACATCCAAACACAAGCACAACACAGAAATAAAATATTCAGCATAACAAACGATCAAGCTACAAGGTATAAGCAATAGAAAACCATGGCATACTCCTATATTAGCCGCTGTTTGGGAACTGTTTAGTTTATAAATAGATAGCAATAAGTGGTGGATAAGTGGACAGTGCTTGTGAGTCTATTAAAATGTATATAGTTTGACCATTTATAAATGATTTATAAATTTTGTAAAAAACGGAGCCTTAGCTAGAGTCCCGCGAGTATATGCATAAGACACTTTACCTATGATTACACATTAAGATACATATATTTCACATACAACCATGATATGTGTAATATATCATTGACTCTTATTATCAAGAAAAAAATGGGAAGAAAAATGATGTATATTACACCTAAAATCATCAATGACATCACTAGAACATACCTGTAAGGGACTAAGTAAAGGGGGAGAGATCTTCCCGTTTGGTCCATTCTGAGTGCCTGATACAAATGGCAAAAGCCGTCCAATAAATGATCCAGATCCGAGGACAATATTCGCTGAAAACATAAAGTTGAAACTATTGATTCTTCTCATTGCATTAAAAATTCATTATTTCAAAAGATAATAACAATGCAAAAGCAGTCCAGTAAATAACCCAGGCCAAAGACAATAGTAGTTGAAAACAAAAGGATGAAATTATTGATTTTTATTTAATATTGATGAAACTATTGATCCTCACTAGATATTTCATTATAAAAAATACAATAACTATGATAGAAATGGTAATTATTCGAACAATTAAGGATACTGTAATGTTCCATGAGAAATTTTATATGCTCCTCATGTTTTCAAGGCACTGGAATATAATATACTGTATAATACAAGGCCCATAAGCTTCACAATGAACTGCAATAGGAATTTCCTTGATTTACTACCTGATAGTCCTAGTTCAAGTTAATGGCTGATCCCCCAAGGAATATAGCTGTTGGCGGATCTATTTTGGGTTGGATATGATGCCCATGATCGCTGAAATCGCACTATTATTCTATGAGCTGAGGCCGTCACGGATTAGAACTTGAGCTCAAGTCCAAAGCTTGTTAGCCATCTTTGACAGTGTAATTTATGCATCCTAATTCCTTCCCTTGTAGATAACAGGTTCAAATTTCAATTTGCTTAAAACATCTGAAAGATAGTTTGCAATGAAAAGGCATCCTTGATCTCATCAAATCTGAGCGCAATGCCAAGTGAATTAGTCATATCTGCTGCCAAATTGAAATTGGCAAATTGTAACTTATTCATCTTTCCCCCGTTCAAAAGATATTTTGGTTACAGAAAGGTGCCCTAGCTTCCATGCATACATGCTTATTTCTTATTATGCAGAAATACTGTGATTTTCAGATTCATAATATATGAGTAGTTGTGTGCATGAAAGTATGAGACTCGTCTACAAAGAGTGTATAACTCTGCAACACATTACAGAATTAGAAGTCTCTCTTCGTCGTTCGGAAATACAACGATAATTTAGCTCAATATATAGGAAGCAACTCTATAAACGAAAACAATACATCTAATTTACTCCAAGAATCCTAAATGGAGACACTATATACTCAACTTAGAAAGTTGTAGTGTTAACACAGAAACCAAATTCAACATAAAAACATTAGAACACGGGCATGTAAAAATTCAAAATTTCCTATCAACAAAATTAAATTCCACTTATGGCACACCTAACCACTGCGCCCATTGAGAGATTATATGCGAAAAAAGAATTGTCCAATGCAAGTGTTCTTTACGCCGCCCATCATCCAAAATTTCAGGAAGCAAATAGCCCTACACAGACCAATATGCTAATTTTTTTATTATCGTAATATCCAAAATAAGAAATCAACAATTTAACAGCTAATTGTCACACATCTCTTACCTCTGAATGCGGACCATCATATACTCCATTTCCTAGTAATGGCTCGTCTAGAGAATCAAATCCCGAAGTCTCCGAATGCTCATTTCTTCTACCGTCAACATCTCCGTGGTGGAGCCTTCTTCTCAACGTCTGGGATGTCATGAATTCGATTCCCTTAAAACTGTTTCTCACAATTACGACAATAATAAAATAAAATTTGTGATCACACGATCAATTGTAAATCTGCAAACAGAATCATTAAACGTATAGTCTAAAAATTATATTCTGAAAATCTGAATAGAAATTCATGAATCACCTGAAACAGATACAGCTCACCGTAAAATTGGAAACCCTTAAATAAATCCTGAGTAAGCCTTAATCTTTTGCAACTTTTTGGATATTTTATTTGTTCTGACGTCAATTTTCATTCTTAATTGTTAAGGAAGCTGTGAAGTACTTGCTAAATAATGATTTGATGAACATTCGAAAAGAATCCTTCTGTCACTTTAAGGAAGGTATCTGGTAGATTGAAAGATAGTCGAACTGGAATAATTTACTTGTGAATTCTCGGTGACTGGGTGAGTGGGTGTAGGGCTAGGCTCCCGAACCGGACCGAACCAATCCGATCCGATCAAATCGAATTGGACGGTTCTTGTCAAATTAAATATCCGAACGGGTATCTAAATTAAAAATCGACGGGTATGGTTTGGCTCTCGATTCTAGACCAAAAATCGAAGAACCGAATCTTTCTAATTTTTTTTATATTGAATAAATCAAATTATTTTAATTTTAATTTTAATTTTTTCTACACAAATTAACAATTTCTAAATTCAAATTTTTGGCCCAATAATTTGTTTCATTTCTAATTTTTTAATTTTTGACCCGATTACCTATTTTATTGTTTCATTTTTTAGCCCAACAAGATCTAATCCACTAAATAACCATAAACACCTATACTAAAGTGCATAACGTTGTCTCGACTCTCGCAGCCTCGCTAACATTTCTAAACCTATACAATCGTCGACCGACGCTGTGACCTCCGATTGAAACTATGACCTTCGCCGATCGAAACTTTGATCGTAGCGATCATTTGAACAAGGTAGTCTATTAGTCTCTGACATTCCAAAACCATTGAATGTATCATTAACTATATTTATATAATGTTGTTATAAATGTTAAAAAATTTAATTATAGTACAGAACCGAACGGTTCCATAATTATATTTGGACCCGACGGTTCCATTGACTAGATATCCGAAAAATTTAGTTTGGTTCGATTCTCTTTAGAACCGAACCGAACCGACCCGCGCCCACCCCTAAGTGGGTGGTTAAGACTGAGCCAGTCCTTGAGTCCAATTATAGAATCTGGATCTCGATCCCAAGCTATTGCTCTTGTAACAAATGGGTCTATAACTTTTAAAAGGAAACAAATTGATCCCAAATATTTTATTATAGTTGCATAATCAATACCGTAAAGAAAAACAATCTAAAATCTATGTTAAATCATCGAGTAATGTTGATTTTTTGAAGTTTGATTTTACTTTCAACATGGATTGTTACTTAAAAATTGAAGCTATATCTATTTTAAAAAATGGGACAATTGACGGTCGATAGTACATTCGTACGTGATTTAAGTTTTTGCGTTCTTTTAAGGATGTCAACAAGTCAAGTCGAGTCGGTTTGCGAGCCAAAAACTTTGGCTCGGACTCGACTTGAGCTTTTCTAAGGCAGGCTTTTTTTTGTCCTAGCCGGGCCGAGCAAAAGCTCGGTAGGAAAAGTAAGGCTTGACCCGAGCTTTCGGCTTGGGCTTTACCAAATCGAGCCGGGCCGAGCTCGGTTTCTGAAAAAAAATTTCTCCATATACCTCTTGCTGGCTGTTTGGGGCAGCTAATCAGCAAATCTGTTGCCAAGCTGCCGGTTAAGGCAGTTTAGCTACCAAACAGGCCGCGGATTTTTCCACTTTTTTTTTTTAATACGGGCCAACCCGACTCGAGCTAACTCTCAAAAAATGAGGCTTCGAGCCTCGAGCCGAGCCGGCTATAACTTTTTTCGAGCCAAGTGACGAATGACTCGAGCTGACAAGCCTGATTGCCATCCCTACGTGCTTTGCACGTTGAATATACATATTTAAACATAATGTAATGATGTACGTAGAAATAAATTGTACATAACAATAATTTAAAGTTTTTTGTAAGAAAATAGAGAATATAGAGAATTTGTTGTTTATTTCTACTTTCTAGTTTAAGAAAGAAGATAAAAAGATTTGTCATTCTGAACTATTTAAGAGTCCTTTGTTTTCAAAATTTATTTTCAACTACATATCCTCTAATAAAATAATTTTATATGAAAATCGAAAAATATTCCTTATTTTTTTAATCAAGCATTCTTCAAAAAAATCATTATTTAAAAATATATTTTCTTTCAAAAATGGGGCCCACACAAAATGTTAGTTTTTCTTTTTTCTCCAACCAAATTCTTCTGAATGTATATACAAAATTAAGGTCGGACTCCTCAACCTTTCAAGTAGCGTAATTTTGGAACCTGAATAGTAACAGTAATTTTAGGCGACATTCAAGTAATTCAAAAATGGATGTTAAGTGATTTTACTTTTTTTTTTTTTCAGCTTTAAGTCGTGTACGATTTTAACGTCCGCATAATCATTTTCAGTCACTTTTGGAACTTAGTTTTGCAAATTTAACTAGAATTAAACTCTTTTGCCAGAAAGAGTTTAATCAATCACTTGGTTGAACTACCTTCACAGTGCGTGTGAATTAAAAATCCCAAAAAAATGCTCCCCTCCCCACCATGTGAGTGTGCTATGGCACCCACCCTAGCAACAAAGCATGATTCATTTAAATATGTTGAGAACTCGGTTATTTGAAAGTTGAAGACTCCAAACACACTACTTGAAAAATGAGGTCCTAATTTTCCCTACTATTTATAAGTAGCAGTTAAGGATTTTGTCAGGATAGAGCTTTGTAAATGGCGGTTTCAAGCAGTAATAGCTTGTGGGCAATGGCTTCTCCCAATTCTTCCTTCTTTTCATCAAGAAATCCATTTATTTCCAACTGCTCATCACATTCATGTTCGAGTTTGCGTTCTTGTTTTTATTTTAAACAGAATTCTTTAAACTGTTCGAATCAAAATTCCCCTTCTTACTCTCCAAATTCAGTTGCTGATAAAGTGTTGACAGATATCCAAAATTCTGGTATAATTGCTTGCCTTCGTGCACAAAGGTAAAATCTTCATGCAGAAAGACAGTGTCTATATATCTATTTATCTGTATGTTGAATTAAAGCTTTTGGTTAGTCTTAATATGCAGTATAGGGATAAAAAATCATGGTTATATATCTATAATCTATGCAAAACAAGGATAAACCCGTAAGACCTGTTTGGTATGGAGTATTAGATTATACAAAATGACAGTATTAAGTAAGAAAAAATGAGGAGCTGAAATCTTGTTTATTTTGCTGCCTGATTTTAACTAGCAGCGTGTACCAAAGATGCACTTGGTAAAAATGTTTTGAGGATTTTTTTACTTACTTATTTTTAGTTTGAAGAATAAGGGAATTTACTATCTCAAATTGGGCGAATTTGTTGGATATTGGTTAAATAAATCGAGAATTGAAAATCGATTAAAGTTCGTATCGACTTCGGCCAAATACTCAAAAGCTCGACTCAATCCGTTTAGGCAAAATTGTTTGCCACTTCGCCGCTTCGGGGCGCACAAACGGGGGTCGACCTTTCATGGTTTGGCCTCAACCATTTCGTCCACACCCTTTCATGGTCTATAAATAGGACCCTTTGGGTGTCCTATTCCTCACAGTTTGATATGCAAAAACGTCTCTCATCCTCTCTTCTATCCAAAATCAAAATCATTTCATTTATTTTGATTTTCTTTCATTTCATCTTTGGAGTACATAATCCTACGTTTGGTTCGTTGTACTTGTGTTTTGGAGTGCTACAAACACAAGTGTAGCCGTTGTATCTTGGGAGTCGATTGTCGAAATCCGTAGGCACCGTTGCGGGGCAAATTCGACTTAAGGACAAAGAATCCAACTCTTGCCTCGGCTTTGTCACCATCATTATACTTATTTCGGCGTCACTATTCACAAAATTCTTCCAACAGAATTGTCCCCTGCATTTATGTCTCAAGTATAATTTTTACGTCCATCTCTTTTACCCAAATTGCAAGAGATAAGGTCCTTAAAGGATATCAAAATGAGAGATTTTCCAACAGGGTGATAACAAATGCCTCGCTGTTTATACCTTGCTGTCCTAGGAGAGAACTGGTTTCACGTTAACATTTTGCTTCCTTTCCCTAACCGATATTGAGTTGGGTTATAGCAACCGGATTTTTTCGTGTTACTTGGTTATCATTGTTTACTTGCTTTCCCTAATCGATCTGTTCAGTGCAGAGATAGCAATTGAAGCTGCACGTGCAGCACTGCATGGTGGTATCTCAGTTGTAAGTTTGAATGTATCTCGGTATTACATTGTTTATTGACTTCCCACTCTAAAGAACCTAGTAGTGCTAACTGAATGGCTTATACAAAACAAGCAATTGCATGATTTATTACTTTATTTTCTTTTTTAATTAGTGTGTGCACTGCTCCTCCAACACTCGTGAACCAAACTGAGTCCCTAATTAGGATGTTCAGTGGTTTAGAAATTGTTGATAAATTAACGCTGAGAGAGGCACATTTTTCCTCTAGAATGTGAAAGGCGAAAATTGTTACTGAAGTTAAGCAATTATGGTATCCATTATTTTTGGGATTCCAAGGTGTCCCTGTCTTGATACGGAAAAAAAAGTTAGGAGATGGTACATATCAAAACCTTGTTTGGACTTTTTTTCGACTAATGGGAGGGGAGTACATAAAGTGGAAATATTTGGACCCTTTTCTTTTTTGGATCTTCCCTTAGAATAGTACTATAGAGCCTTCTGTCAGATGTTAATGCTTTCTCAATTTGCAGCTAGAAGTTGTGATGTCCAATCCAGGTGTTCTCGAGGTAAGAGTGAAAATTTTCTATCTAATTGCCTTCTTTCCTCCTCAATGCTGGAAAATTTTGAAGTCAATATGCTTTTCTTTTCTTCCTACTCAGGTCTTAAAGTGTTTGGTCCAAGAATATCCTTCAAAATCAATAGGAGTAAGTATTTCCTCGTCAGTTGTTGCTTAATGTTTGTCACCCTTGGATTGGATTTTCTTGTTCTCTAGCTATATTCCTTTTTGAGGAAGATTGAAGGTTATGGAAGTGATACCTAGGATTAGGATAGATTCTGTGATAGAGAGGTTGCAGTGTCTTTATATCCTTGCTCTTATGTTTGTTTCTATGGAAGGAAAACTGGTCATGAGTTTACATTGCTAATTACGATATGAGAATGAGTTTGAGATAATCCCTGATGATTGTAAAAGCATTAGAAGATAGTTTCAATAGGTTAATCCTCCATTCGTTGAAAAATTCCAGTTTGGGGCATTATGATCATCCAATACTAAGTTTGTCTTGAAAATACCGAACGTTGGTTTTAGTTAACCGGTCCTTGTGCTAAATTTTCTGAAACAAACACTCCAGCATATCTTCATGCTTGGCTTCTTTTCTTTTCTTTTTCATTTTTTCTTTTTGTTTGGGTGGTTTTGTGGGGGAGGGGGGGTTGAAAAGAAAACTACTCTGGAAAATTAAGAAGAAATAATGATCATATAATTGGTATTTTAGGTGGGCACTGTTTTAGATGGCAGAGATGCCAAAGATGCAATGAAGTCTGGAGCTAAGTTCCTGATGAGTCCTGCAACGGTTAAGGTATTATGGCAAGGAGTTCAGATATATCACGAGTCGAAGCTATGAGTTTCTGGTCATACCAATCTCATTTTCAATGCATTTTTCTTATATTAGTCAATTTCTCACGAATATAATATTTTGAGTGGTATCTATGAAGTTTATATGATGTGAATAAATGTAGCTTCATAGTTTGTTTATCTTATTTGATTGTCTCAGGATATTTTAGATGATGTTACAAGAGGTCAAGCCCTGTATATACCTGGAGTAATGACCCCAACTGAGGTACGTTCCTATTAGTTTTCTTTAGATGATATCTCAGGCTTATTAACTTAATTTTTCTAATCAGTTAATATAGATGATCTTTATCGTTATCAAGTAAAGGCGGTTAAACAGATAAAATATATTAGTTTGATTGTTTTGAAGAGTCTGAATCCCTTCTTCCCTGCGCGAACTGAAAGAAAGAAGAAACTTATTCTGTTATCTCTATGATCATGCAGATATTGTTTGCATTCAATGCTGGTGCTAAACTTGTCAAGGTGATGCTCTTTATGAAATTGATTGTTTCTTTTCTTGTGAATCATAAAATTCTTTGTATGCAATGAAGTACTTCTGATTTCTCTTTCCTGTTGCAAAGGTATATCCAGTCTCTGCATTAGGTGGCGTTCAGTACATAGCAGCTCTCAGAAAGCCTTTTCCCCATATCCCCATGGTGGCGTCACAAGGCATAACTATAGGTTGGTTATCCAAAATAATTTGTTACTTAGTTTCAAACATAATTATTTTCTCTATTTTACAGACCAGTGAATCTTTTTTGTATATTTTTAACAAGTCAATATAGGAAAGGAATCTGAAAAAGAATTGAAAGAAGTATTCATCATCTGGTGATTTAGTACAAACTAGAATATATTTTGTCATGACAGAAAAAAAAATAATAATAAAAATAAATCTGTTTTCACGATGTTATTGATAATCTACAGCCTCGTTCTTCTCGATAAAATGATTTATACTACAATATTGATTAGAAGGAAGATGCTACATGTCACAGAATGCCAAGAGGCAGAATTTCATTGGAATTTGCACACAAAAAAAAAAATTTAAAACAGTCAATCAAAATCTGCCATATCAGCACCTGTGAAGCTTTCTGGCAATTTCCCCTTTACAAAACAGCTTTACTCTGATAAGAAAATCAGTCTACAACAAAAATGTGACTTAGATGAAACTTCTCTTATGTCAATGCAGATTCAATTGGGGAATATATTTCTCAGGGAGCATCATCAGTTGTTTTATCAGATGCCATATTCAATAAGAAGGCACTGGATCAACTAAATTTCGACACAATATACCAGCTTGCTCACCTTGCAGCTTTACGGGGCAATGAAGCCATACAAAGGTCAGGACTTGTTCTTTACGTTGCATTTATCATTTGTGCTCTTTGCTGGTCAAGTCGAACATTTTTATAACTATTAATAACATTTTAAGAGTGAAACATAGACTATTTGTTTAGTTAAATTACCATATCTTACCAAAAACTTGGGAAATTTTGGTGTTTCATTCTGCACAATGAGAAATTATATATTGAAGTATCCTTTTACATTTTTCGTTCTGTGGACAAAATCAATCTCTTAAAAGGGTCGAGGGAATTAGTCATAGTTCGAAAAGAAAAGAAGGATTAATTGCCAGAGGGACGGCAAAAGGGTAGAAGAGCTGAAGCGGAATCTACAGACGCATTTGAGGATGAATCTGCTATAAATAATGTGAATAAAAAGAACCAGACCGTATGTTTTTGTTTGAATAGTTTCTAAACAACCTTATAAATGTAAATTTGAGTTTAGTGAGACATACTTAATTCATTGAAATGCAGGAAGAAGCGAGGTTCTAGTGCTTAGATGTGCTATCGTGCTGTAAGTTGATTGTTCTGAGACGCACTCTCAGATGTATCATGTATGCTAATTCCAGCAGATTTTACGCGATTGCTGCCACTTCAGTACAAGAGGGATGAGAAGACATTGAGGCAGCAAGTTCTAAACCAGAAAGACAGCAATTTCTTCTTGCTCAACCTGCAGGTCGAAAATATGAATTTTCCCAGAATATGAAACATTATGTTCACATTTTTGTTGACGTTTGTTTCTCATTGACATTTTTGTTGGTCCAAGTGCTCGACTAGTACGATGATGTCAAACATTAATTTTTACATTTTTTTTTCTTGCTTCCAACTTTATAACTAGGAGCGATGTTTCACAACTACTAATTTGTGAACAAGTACTCCTTTTCAATGCGAGTCCAATTTAAAATACACACGGTACATTGCCAAACAAGTTCAAATATTAACATATTGTCGCTTTTCAATGGTCAAGAAGCTGAAAACAAATAAATTTGTATCGTCAATCAGAGCATATAAACGAGACTGACTAAGTTTTGTACAAAAAGAAGTGATCACCGGGTCTGGGCCTAGGCTTTCCGACGGCCCAATTGAAACTGAAATTACTTTGAGCATCCAATTGGATCAGATGTGGGCCCGTTTTGGCCGACGCTTCGAAGACATCAGCTAACATGCAGATGCAAAAAGAAAGAGAACTTAAATTCTTGGTCGCGATTGAAATGTATTTGTAGTAGCAATAAGCACACATGACTAGACCCTCGTTTGACACAACCCAGACTTGACACAGCCTACCTAGAGAGGCGGATTGTGGCAAGCTTGCCTCTAGACTAATGGCCGGTCATGCAGCCCTTTTTATCATTTTTCTTTTTGAAAAAGGAATTTTCTACCCCTAGCACATGTCAACTTTATCTTTATTACAGTTCGATCCATTTTACACTTCTATACGTCGAAACAAGAAGACTTGAGATGTCCATGGACAGGGCATGCTTTCTAGCATTCTTCAATCCTACAAATGAATGTACTCCAGAAACAGATAATAAGTTGACTTGCAAAATGCCAGATTTCCATTTGTTTGAACCTAGATTAGACTCACAGACATAAACCCATAAAGCAAAATAATAATAATAATAATAATAAAATGTCCATCTTAAAGGCCAAAATCGAGGACAGAAATGCATCCAAATAAAATCGGTCTCAAATTTCAAGTCGCAACTAAAAAATGTACAAACAAGAAAAGGGTTCACTCGAAAAGTTTAACTACCACTGGTACATAATCATTAAGATGACATAACATAGTAAATGCACATTGCCTAGAAAGGGCCCGAGCGCGTTCTGCGCAGGTGATACTTGGGTTCTGGTGGCGGTATACTAGGTAACACCTTCTCCAGTTCCTGCAAGTACACTTACAATGAGTAAAATATACATAGGAGGTGCTTAAATGAATATGGAAGGAGGAACAAATCAATCAGTCAGTCAAAGAAAGAAGCAACATGGCAGCTGGCTGGTGAAAGACCAATAGGAAATACAATTAGCCCACTTTTCATAGACAAACCCGGGATTTGCACAATCCTAGATTACAAGGATTTCACACCAATCTCAGTCTTGTTACAAACAAATGCCCCATGGCCTCTGTATATGATGGAAGGCCGACCTAATCTACGTATGAATGCCTGCATAATCCAACACATATTAAAGGAGAGTGGGAATCCTATGTGTCTGCCGCATTATGGAGAAAGAATTCTCAACTCCAAGGAAGATTAAGTATATGAATATAAAGATTAATTTCAATTTCAACAACAACTTGACACTTATTGTTCGCCTCTTTTGACCATAATTATCAGATATCATTGATGCCACCATCTATATATCCATTATAAAGTACTATATGAAAGAAAAGAATTGGTGGTTGACATCGGCAATACGAATATTACTCAGGCTCGTTTGCATCATTCTATTGCCATCATCACGTGATAGCACACGTGATGTAGGACACTGCCACTAGTGTTAAGACCTACTTAATTTACCAATTTTGTTAGAACTTAGAATTTTATTATGATTATTTTAGGACACTATTAGTTTTCCTATTAGTAGACTCTGGGGGCTTTATGCATGGTGGTATGAAATAGTTAGTTATTCCCAAATGTCCATAGGCATGCAGAACTTCAAGAGCACTCCTTTTCGCCAAATGTTTTTGTACGAGTGTTTTAAGCACTATGGTCAAGTTGAAGAGAACAGGGTAACCATGGATTTTTTTAGTCTTTGCCATTGGTTACTAGTTTGAGCCACGGAATGGAATGTGACAAGAGAACCCTGGAAAAAGTATTAGAAGGAACAAGCCTAGCTTACTGATAAAAAGGAGAACGGAAGTAGGGTGCAGGTAAATGCTAGAAGCGTTCATGTATATTTTGTTTTGTCAGCATTTATCTGCCTTGACTCAAAGTTGATTCTTTCTCCATCGTTTCTCAAGGAATAAATGATATGAATAGAAACCTGGGGTTCCATTATAACTATTACATGAGATGTAGGTTATTACTATTTTAATTATTACATGAGATATAGGTTATTACTATTTTATCAATCAATTCTAGAGCTTTTCTTTTTGTTTCTATAAATTCTGAACTCCAAGCCAATATCTGAAGGTGGCTTGCTACTAGTTCTTCTTATAGTTCAACTATTGCTCTTTCCGAAGATCAATTTTGAGTTCCTTTGCGGCAGGCTGGGAACTGAGAATTACCTATATGCCTAAAATCCTGGCAGAAGGACCAACAAGAGAGGTGAATCAGCTTGAGTAGGGAAAAGTCAAATATTTCAAATCGACTAATGAAACAAAAATTGACAAGATGAGTATCAGATTGAGAATTTATACTATTTTGAAAGATTATTGTTATCTAGGTGTAAGAAATCCCAAAAGATCTACAAGGATTATGCTTGCTTAATTGCTGACGTGACAAATCTCAGTGTCACTGGTTAAAAGAACTAAGACAAACACATAAACCTCAGACAAATCTCAGTGTCACCGACTAGCCTATGCTAGGAGGGTGTCAGTGCTTCTTAGGTTAAATGTAAAGCACCAATTATAAAAAGCATGTGCCACTTCCAAGTGAAAAAGTAACTGATGAGGACATCTACTTTTTATTTATTTTTAGTTGGACTTTATTTATGTTTTAGATTTTATTTATGTAATTGGGCTTGCATTGGCACAAGTCCATTCTACTTAGAATTTTAGTCTTTACTATTTAAACCTAATTGCGATGTAATTTCATTAGTTTTGATGAATTGAAGAATATTTTGGTGGTTTGTTGCCTATAACTTCTCCTTCCTCTCCCTTCCCCTCTCCCCCATGAATTTCTGCTTCTTCTCCGGTTTCTTCCCCCGTTCTCTCCGGTTCTCCCTTCTTTCTTGCTTCTTCTTTCTATTTTTTTAATTCGTCCTGCATCAAATTTGGTATCAAAATCGAACCTTGGGTAATTTCTTTTTTTTAATCCAAAATTTATTCATATTTCCTTCCCAAAATTTGTTTGAACAGCACGAACTAAAAGAATTTTTGATAAAGGCAGCAGTTTTTTTTTTCTTCTTCAATTTTCAGCCTTAGTTGGAAAAAAAAAGTTACTGTTCATCGCGGGTACTGTTCACCCAGAATTTCAGTTTAATATTTTGGTCAGTTTTTTAAAAATATATATATTACTGTTCACGCCAAAAAAAAAAAATTCTCGTTTTTTTTTGCTGCTGCTTCTGCTCATAAAAAATAAATAAATAAATTGTAGTGTTGTTCCACAAATCCCAAACCCTAGCATTCAAGCCCACTTAGCCCTTCAGCCTATATATTCCATCTCTATAACCTAGTCCATTCATTTTTTTTTATCAAAACACTTGGGCCATAAGCTAATGGCTCAAATTACTCCCAAAGCCCACTAACACAGAGCCCATCTCTCATAATCTATTTAGCCAATCCACTCGCTTTTCAGCCCAATAAACACCAAATCCAACCCACTTATCACATATTATCACAACCGGCCCAACATCATCCAACCCATAACCAGTCCCAAATTCGCTCGGCCCATAACCCTAGCCCATTATATACAACACTTAACCCAGCCCACATCTACAATACCCAATCAACCCAAGCCCTAAACTCCTCCTTCCCCGTCGGTATCCCACAGTCACCACACTTTCCGCGACCGCCCTCACTGCCAATCGTCAGCAATCCACTACCACGCCAGTTGTCACCCACCACCTGGAGTTCAGTTTTCGCTTTATTTTTCATGTCGGTGGACCTCTTCTGAGTTCAGAGTGCCAGGGACATTTGTTGAATTGGATTTGGCCTATTATTTGCATTGGGGCAGCTTGTTAAAACTCTTGAGGATTAGTGTTCCATTCAGCAACTCGACTGCTTAGGAGTATTCCATTATAATTTTCTACCAGAGACGTGCCAACTGGGAAATCATAATTGGGTACAATTCTGATTCTTTGGGTCCTGAAGTACATCGCCATCAGGTTTAAGTTTCCGTGGGCACCACCGCTGCAACTAAACAACAGGGAGTGCTTGATTTATATTTGTCATTGGTTTACAATACTGCTTCATTTAAAATTGCATTAATTAAATTTTTGTGATGTTATTCTAACAATATACCTAAAGTCATGTGACTGAATCCGTTGATTTCGTCAAAACCCTATTGTTCCCCACTTATCAACGTGACTGGAGAATTCGACTACTATGTTGACCCCTGCTCTGTTATTTTACATGTACCGGTAGCATTAGTTTGCTTTGGATCTATTTAATCCCCAAATTTAAGATTTAAAAAAAAAAATGGTTCAAGATGTTATTTTTCATTGCTTCTATTTATTGTTCATTGATCTCATCATTGCACGTCATTTAGCTGGTATTACATTGCATGTAGTTGCGTAGTGGTCGTCTTGTCGTCTCTATTTCCAATACGTTGACCATGAATCCATCCCCATTTGATGCGTTCACTAGACAATTAGTGCAACTTGCCACTAGCCTATCGATTGTCCAATCAGATATAACTGCTACTCATGAGGAGTGAAAGAACATAGCCGCTAAGTTGAGCAATTTTAAGCGGACCCCTCGTTTGACTGACACTAATTCGGAAGCATCTCATAATAGACAATATCATCGTGGACAAAGTGATCAAAAATATTTTCGACGCGATCGTAGGAATAGGGATCAGGTTCGTGAGCGAGAACAAGGCCATGATCATCGTGGTACTCATTCTCTTTCTCGTCGTAAGGAGCGTTTCTTTAGAAACATTGACTTAGATACTCCTACTTTCGATGGTTGCTTAGATCATGAAATTTTTACCCAATGGAACACTCTTACACAAGAGAATCGGCTAGTAACTGAAAACATTGCTCAATTTCGAGTGAAATGTCATGTCGTTGAGGATGAGACCCTGACTTTAAGTAGGTTTATACAATGTCTAAGAGATGAACTTAGGCGTGAGCTTTTCTTTCGAGGCATCACTACTCTTGATCAAGCTTACTCTTCAGCTTGGGAATACGAGTTACTTATTAGTACTCCATATGAAAAGCGCGACCACCATCGTTCTCCCATGTCATTAGAGCCACCTCAACGTGAGTCTGTCATAGAGCCTTCCCCGTCTAATATTCCTCCCATTTGGAAAAATAAGTGTAAAGGTCGTGATAGTCCAAGGCCCTCTTCTCCTTATAGAATGCGTATTGATAACCATTCTTCCGCTTCATTGGCTCCACCTCCTCCTGTTAAGTCTCTTCTAGGACCTTCCCCGTTTAATGTTCCTCAAATCTTGAAAAATAAGAGTAAAATTTTTGAAACTCCAGGGACTTCATCTCACCCGCTATGTATCAGCTGTAAGGACTTTGGCCATATCTCTTCCAAATGTCCTAACCGAACCTTAGTCATAGAAGAACGAAATGATGTAATAGAAGAGTCGTTAAAAGATCAAATCTATGAACCTAAATTTGAAGAATGTGATAACTTGAATGATATTGAGGACACTTCCTTATGTAGTATCAGGACTTTTTCTATGAATCTAGGGGTTGTACACCTTGTTCCCGATATCCCTCAGTTAAATGTTGCGTGTCATACTCTTTTCCAACCCAAAGGTACGGATGATTTGTGTAATCATGTTCTTTTCAAAGAAAATCTTGAGAATTGGGATTTGATCCTTCCAACAATTCAAATTGCATATAACAATTTTGTGCATCCGTTTATCGGTACAAGTTCTATTGAAATTATTCATGGTTGTAAGTCTAGGAAACCTTTAGACCTTATTCCAATGTCCCCACATACTAGTATGTCTGCGTCAGTTGAGGCATTTGTACGTCATCTTCATGAATTGTATATTGAGATCAATAAACAATTTGAAACAAGTAATGCATTATATAAACTTCAAGCTGATTTGCATAAGAGAAATTTTGAATTTAATATTGGGGATTATGTTATATTGCAAGCTTGTAGCGTTGGTCCTTTAAAAATTTTAAAGCATGTTGGTTCAAATGCACTTGTTATTGCCCTTTCATCACATTTTGGCTACCACTCTGCTTTAAATATTGAGGACTTCATTACTTACAAACACCGTGTTACTTCCTTTGATGATCTATTTCTACTTAGCTTTATGGACCCCCAACTTGACTATGTTGATATTTCTACTTCAATACCGTCTATCACAGCACACAAAGATAAAATTGATATTATTTTAGATGAATGTATTGTATTGACCAATGATGGCAAGATTCAGTACTTCCTTATTTGTTGGGTAGATCGACGTGCTTCTTATGCTCCTCATTATATACAATCATGTGAAAATCTTGAAGATGAGGTGCATGAGTATTGGTTATTTGGAGTCCAGTATCAGTACTTGGTTAGAAGAAAAGATCGCCCCCTTGGTCAGATCATATTCTTGGGAATAAGCTATAGTTTTCAGTACTATCAATCATGGATTACTTGGTTCGTCAGAAAGATCGTCCCCCGTGGCTTGACTTGACGCATTTGGAGTACCAAATTGACTGCAGCCTATACTATCTATCAACTCGACAGGGTTGAATTTTTCTCCCACTCCGGGAGAGTTGATGAGGACATTTACTTTTTATTTATTTTTAGTTGGACTTTATTTATATTTTAGATTTTATTTATGTAATTGGGCTTGTGTTGGCCCAAGTCCATTCTACTTAGGGTTTTAGTCTTAACTATTTAAACCTAATTGCGATGTAATTTCATTAGTTTTGATGAATTGAAGAATGTTTTGGTGGTTTGTTGCCTATAACTTCTCCTTTCTCTCCCTTCCCCTCTCCCCAATGAATTTCTACTTCTTCTCCGGTTTCTCCCCCCATTCTCTCCGATTCTCCCCTCTTTCTTGCTTCTTCTTTCTATTTTTTTAATTCGTCCTATATCATAAATTAAGGAAACTTCACCACAGGCAAGTTATTAATCGTCTGTCTGGGATAGGATTGAACGAAACTCCCGAACTGGACCAAACCGAGCAATTTAGTTCAGTTCTTTTCAAATTAAATACCCAAACGAAATATCATAATCGGGAGCCGACGGATTTGATTCAATTCCTAGTTCTAGACCAAGAACTGAAGAACCAGATAAGAACCAGATCTGTCTAATTTTTTATATTAAATAAGTCAAATTATATTAATTTTTTATAAATAAATTTATTGAGCCCAAAAATATCATTTTCTTGTTTCATTTGCCAACTAATTAATTGAGACCAAAATACTATTTTCATGTTTTCAGCCCAAACCCAATTTTGTAATTCAAATTTCAAAGAATCAAAATTAAGTGACTTAAGCTTTTCTCAATCTTTCTGTCGCTTCTCAAATAATCGAAGTTGAGCGGCTTCGATTCTATTCGTCTTACCCTTTTTCTACCCTATTTATTGATTTTTCTTCACTTTGATCTAGATAATTTGTATACATTGGTAAATAGATCTTATTAGACAACTTATTATTTATATATTTTTAAACTGGACTACGTTATTTTATAAAAAGTTAATGTAGTGTTATTGTAAGAGCTAAGATTAAACATGTTATTAGTTGGATTAACATAGTGTTGTTGTAAATATTAAAAAAATTAATTATGGTACCGAACCAAACCAATCCCATAATTAAATTTAGACCCGACGGTTCCACTATTCGAAAATTCTGGTTTAGTTCGGTTCTCTTAAGAACCGAGCCGAATTAAATCATGTCCAACCCTAGTTTGGGTGCACTATTACACCAAAAAATCAACTTTGTACATTCTTGATGTGGATCCCTTTTTAAATTTTTAGAGTAATGTCAAGCAATACATCCGATAGCTAACAAAACCAGATTCAAATCATTTTTGGGATTTTGGTCTTAATGCCTATTTTTCCCTCAACTGGTGGAGAAAGGGGTGTTTTGGCTACGCTTGTGGAGATTAAAATTGACACATTGGGTGAAAAGAATACATAACCTACTTTTCCTGCTTCAACATCCAATTCGTAGTCTCTACTTTAATATTTCAAATGTCAACATCAATTCTATCAAAATTTGATAGAAATCTCCGGAAAAGCTACACCAAAGAGAGGCAAAATGGCTGCACTCACAAAATTTTATGGCTGCGCCACTATTGTTGCATAAATACAAAAAATACTCTAAGGAACTTTTAATGAGTTTGACATAATGTTTTATATCAGTTAAAATTTGCATATGGGATGGAAAAAGAAGTTGTTCAGTTCATGCAAGCACTGCCAATAAAAAGCAAACAAGACTGAACACAGCACACATTTTTAAATGACATACATAACAAATTGTAGGAAAAACACATGCCCGAAATTTCTAAACCATCACAAAATACTATGAGGTGTCAATACACTGCAGACATCTTTACACATTGTGATATGCTGAATAATAAGGGAAGGAAGGGTAAAATAAAATTGAGCAAAAAGATGATAAAGCTACCTTCAGTCTCCGAAGCCGTTCATTCTCCTCTTCCAGACGTGAAACCTTGTTCTCCAGCTCATGGGTGTAAGCCTACCAAATAAAAGAGAATCTCCAATGAAGAAGAACAGAGTTAGATACTTGGCATGTCGGGAGTATGAAACTTACCTGCTTCCTTGCTCGAGACCTTGCAGCCGACTCCCTGTTCTTGATCATTCTCTTCTGCCTCCTTTCGACACTTTTTTCAACCATACCATCAGAAGCAACCCTCTTTCTTCCAGGTGTCTGTGTGTCCGATAAAGTTCCCCTTAAAGTGGACGGAGACATGGTTATTTGGGTCTCAGGATAAGCTATATCCAACATCGAGTTTCCACCGATAGGAATAGGCTGTTGAAGTGAGTGGCCCGGGATAAATACAGGCAGCATGTTCTGTTGCTGTTGCTGCTGTGGATTATTCGAAGGGAACTGATAATGTGTCCACTGAACTTGCTGTGGCAATGCCATTGGATCAACAGGTCTGACCGCTGAGCCCAAACTTTTCTTCCCAGGGGACGACTCAGCTACAATTCCTGCCTTAACCAAGAAATCCTCCAATGTTATCTCTCCAAGAGTAGCTTTCCTGTCAAGGTTATTCTTCTTCTGTCCCTGTTGAATATCCTGCCACACCTCGTCAACAGTCTTCTTGCTCAGATCCCTCAACAGCGTGGGGCTCGACTGTTGATTCAACGAGGACGACATCCGCTGACCAGGCTGCTGCTCGTTGGGCCCATAACCAATGCCTTCCACTGCTTGATTATTAGCTTCAGCACTCCACACTGTCTTAAGAAGCTCATCGAGGTTCATACTACTCAATGGTTTTCCTAAATCTCCCAATTGATTTTGCACCTCATCAAGAGTGAGGCTATACAATGATCCCTGGCTAGCCAATGAATTCGATTTCGGCTCTTGAGTTTGGATTTGGGCTCGGTTAACACAACCGCTCTGAGATCCCATTGCCTGAGTCACCATTCTACAGCTCCTTTTCTCTCTAATCGCTCTCTTATATCAATTTTATAGAAATCAATGCCAAAAACTTCTTCAATCGACAGCATAAAATTGCATGAAACCCACATTCAATCTAATAAAATGAAAAAAAAAAACAGCAAGCAGAAAAACATAAGAATCACTACGAATCAAGAACAAGAAGCAAAAATATCAAAAATTGATGGCAAAAGTTAAAAACCCATGTCAAATCCCAGAAAATGCATGGACATAAAAAGGGAAAAAAAGTAAAAACAAGACTTACCAGATCAATAAGAAAAAGCCCAAAAGAGAAAGAACTCAAATAATCAGATTTTCAGTCTGCATGCAGGGTCCAACATTCGCAACCCAAAAAACCTAGAAGCCATGAAACGAAAACCGGAGCACTTCAATCAACTCATGGGAACACAAAAATTCATACATGAACAGATTAAAATATAGATAAGAGGAAACATACCCACATTTAAATATAGAAAAGAGGAAGCATACCCACATTCTATTCTCTCTGGAGTGTAGACTTTTACATAAAAATGGGAGTATTAATGTATTATTAAATCCCTCGACCAACTTCAAAGAATTGAAAATAAGTGAATAAAAAAATCAAACTCCACCTTTACAAAATTCTTTATTATTTGTGCTTTTCCGGCACTGGGAAGGTACTAATTTATTCATTTTTGGCATTTTTCTATTTATTTTCTTCTAGTCGTAAATGAAAATAAAAAAAATAAAATAAAATAAAATAAATATATATATATAGAACAAATTAAAAAGTTGGTGTCGCGGTACGAAGTAGTCCCAATCAAAATCTTATATTGTTACACACGATGATCCTGTTTGGCTAATTTTTATTTTAAAAATAACGAAATTAATTTATTCAAGCCCAGTTGTTACAATTTTAAGTTTGACCAAAATGTTGTGAACTTAAAAAGCTACAAAACTTGTACAATTACAAGCTCGAGTAAATAATATGCAAAGAGCTTGTTATTTGATTAATAGAAAGAAAATATATGCAAAGGTTAATTGAAAAATAAAAATTTCAAGTCCCATTTTAGGTCCTGTTTGAATTCTATTAATTTGAAAAAATGTATTATGGAATAGTGATTGATGGAGAGTGTGTGGCTAAAAAAGAAAGAAATTTTTTGATTTGCGTATAATATTATTTTAATAAAAAATGTATAGTTAAAATGAGTATTGTAAAAAAATAATGAAAAAGAATGTAAAGTAAAGCATGGCAAATCGGGCTTCATTAGATTTAGAATAAAGTCAAGTTGCATTATTTTTTTATAAAAATATTTTTGTGCCAAATGCCAAAAATAGATTCATTAGTTGGAGCCAAAATGGGAATATGTCCAAAAGGACAAAAGATGTACACAAGAAGTTGTGAACGTACACCGACTTTGAAACTTAGCCCCCCGTTTGAACTACATTATTCTAAAAATGAGAATAAAAAATATAATAATTATAGACCTCACATAAAAAATAAAAAATAAAAAATCAAATATAGTGGCTTGATGTGATAATGACGATCATATTTTTCATTTTAATGAGAAAATAATGGGACCCAATCAGGGACTTACTGTAAAATTAAAAATCCCAAAAGTTTAGATTGTGAGAGAAGGCAAAATACTGCTATATGTAACTTAATCTCATCTAACCATGTTCGTGAACAAGATAACCGTCTTCTCAACATAAATGCATCTCTTTTAAAAACATAATCCACGAACGTTCTATTTGTACGACAACAAAATCAAATTCAATTTTATTCCAAGAAACAACCGCACAAATCTCGTTCTCTTAATCAGTTCGTCTACAAGTATGTGCTATTAAGGCATTCCACCCAATAGGGAGGGGGATACAAAAAGAGATCCAATCTGAACAACGTACAACATAGGCGTTAGCCGACTTTTTAAGTAAGATCCCATTTTCCCAGGTGAAAAAGGGGAGTCTTTTTACTTTATCTTTTTAGGCAAAGTGGGACTGTTCTAGGAAGGAGATAATAAGTGGGCATCATGAGCTCCACCACTTCTTTCCTCTTTTTTGTACTGGACCAGCTTCAAAATCACAATCCAGCAAAATTTCATGGGTTGTTACTGATCTAAGTCTCTCAGCAAAATTTCAGTTGGATTTTAATCTGTCTTATTTGGGTCATTGATCTTTGATTTGGTTTCAAATTTCACTTTCCATCAACTAATCGACAAGAATAGCAAAGATGCAAGTCATTCCATGAATGTTATCCCTTTTCCATTTGACTAAAGAATAGATGAGAAATTGCATTCAGCTCTGAAAGCTACTTATTTCCAACAAGGTTGTAGTTTTGCACCAGAAGAAGTCCCGAGATTTGCTTCTCCCGACCACATTGTAGTTTCATTTTTGTAGACACATTCAGTTGATAGACCTACGAGAATCTTCAATGGTAGAGATACCAGATGAGCACAACTTGGTTTCAAGGATTCTTGATCTGGATCGGGTAACCATTTGTGCGTGTTGGAACTGCAGGGTGTTTTGGCTTTGTTGATGGAACTGGAGGGGTGATGGGCAAATATAATGTTCTCTCTGAACAACAAAATTGGAACAACTTCATAGCATTAGAACTGGGAAACATAACCAAGTGACAAATTCAAGGCTTGAGTGAATGATAAAAATGAAACTCTAGCTTAACAATTCAATGAACCTATTGTATGAAAATCGTGCTATTCAATTAAGGTTGAGGCTACACGAGAAACGCAAATATCAGTAATGGCTGGAAAGACCAAAAGAATACACTAACCAATCCGATATTTCAATGTAAAGAGATAGAAAATCGACCAGTTAGAATACTAATAGATCAATATTCAACCATTATCCATTTCAACCAAGGCTATAGAGTAGGATTGGATCAATTCAATTCAGTTCAGTTCAGAATTGTGTAGGCAAATAGTAAGTCATTAAAACTTAAAGCAAAACATGAACACAAAATCAAAAGAGAAGACAAACATTAAATATGACAAAAAATCTCAGCCTCAGAGCTCAGGCCTCTGCATCCTCGATGACTTGGACAACCTTGGCAGTCGGCCTTGCCAAAAGATCAGTGTATTCTTGGAAAGGAGATTTTGAAAAGCGAGTCTCCCTCCACAAGTCTGGAGTGAGGAAGCCATAAGTCTTCAGTAGACAATCAAAGGTAGCCTGTAAAGCGCAAAATTCATTAGCGTCCAAAACACCAGTTACTTGATGATGTGACTAAAGAAGCAGAATAAACCACTAATGCCTTAAGTACTAAAGAACATAAAGCATAATACGGTGAAAATATTTCAAGTAATGAGCATTTCATTGTTTCAAGAACCAGAAACTTACTCTGTGCTCAGCACCTACTCTCTACTGCTGAAACAGCTAAACCACCAACACCTTCACTTAGTGTTTCTGTGCCTTTTAAAGTACTAAAGAACATATAGCATATTCAGTTTTTAGCCTCTCATCTTCTCTAGAGATGCAAAACTCAAACGCATAGAACAAGTGGTCCAACTACACAACTTTTTCTTTTTAATAACTTCCATGGTCGTGCCTCGTGGTGGACAACTGACTTTTATAGAAAAGGCGGCGAAAAGGGGGCAAACAGAAAGAATTTCTTTTCAGCAACCCCTAGATAAGCTCTCCTCTTTCACAGTGATAATCAGGAAAGGGGATCAAATCCTTCTACAGCTGCACGAGCCCATCCATGACCCCTCTTAATTGAGACAAGACAAGAGATCCAATGCTCGGATTGAAGTAATAATCACATTGATTATATCATACATACTGGGATCAGGTTATACCTAAAAAATATTCCTTGCTGGGCTCAAAGACTACTCTCTACTGTAGAACCAGCATAAACCACCAAATTTCACTAGCGTTTCTGTATTTTTAAAAGTACTAAATAATTTATAGCATCATAAAATGAAAATATTCAAAGTATAATATTTCATTATTTCAAGAACCCGAAGCTTGTGCAGAGCTCCACCACTACTCTGCACTTCAGTACAGTTCACTACAATCAACAAAACCCAAAATAGAAATTTGCTATCTCATCATTTTAATAAACCTTGGCAATCATCCTTACAGATTAACAAATTGAAACAAGAATTGAGATTATCAACAATTACAGAAATAATCTAATGCCCATGGCCACGCATTAAATCAAAACTGTCAAGAATTATACATGTTGCAGAAAAAACATTTACGAAATAGAAATGCATAAAATTCTAAAACATTAACACCTGTAACATATCAGCAAACTCCATTTGGTTGAATTTCAGATCAAATTGCAATACAAATAAATGAAATAGATCAAAGCACACCTTAACGAAGTTTCCAAGGGTCTTGGTAGAACCTCGGGAGGAGGTGAAGACATCTTCTATACCAGCAAACTGCAGAACCTTCTTGGGGACGCGGGCAGCGACAATTCCAGCGCCACGAGGTGCAGGCACCATGCGGACAGTGACTGAACCACATTTCCCGGTGACCTTACAGGGAACGGTGTGTGGTTTACCAATCTTGTTCCCCCAGTACCCTCTCCTGACCGGAATCACAGAAAGCTTAGCCAATATAATCGAGCCACGAATCGCAGTTGCCACTTCCTTCGAGCACTTGACACCGAGACCAACGTGCCCGTTCCCATCTCCAACCACCACGAACGCCTTGAACCGGGTCCTCTGACCGGCCCGGGTCTGCTTTTGGACCGGCATGATTTTCATAACCTCATCTTTCAAAGAGGGACCAATTAGTATATCGATGATTTGGTATTCTTTGATTGGGAGCGAATGGAGGTAAATTTGCTCAATGGACTTGATTTTTCCGTCTCTTACTAGACGGCCAAGCTTCGTTACCGGAACCCAGTCCTTCTCTTCGGCATCACGGCGTCCACCACGACGTCCACCGCGTCCACCGCGACCTCCCCTATCTCCTCCACGTCCACGGCCTCCAAAGCCACGGCCAAATCCACCACGGTCTCCTGCGCCTCTCTCCGCCATTGTTAGGTTTGAGAAATTTGAGCAAGAATTTAGAGTCTGCAAATGTGGGACAGTGTAGCTTAAACCCTAGAAAGGAATTGGGCTATATAATACACACATAATGGGCTTATCTTTGATAAATATAAGCCCATATTGTCTGTGGCCCAAATGGCCTAATCCGTATAACAATCACATATTGAGATTAGAGTTGATATTTTAATAGAATTTACTAAATTAGGCTATTCTGCCTTTCCCCACTCCAATTTGGTCCCTCCCAACAAGTTTCACAGTTCAGGTTCCTTCCTTCCTTCCGGGACGAAACGCGCTCTTGTCTTGAATTCCTATACCCCCACCCCCTCTCTCTCTCAGGTCGGTGCTCATTCTCGAGATGGCATCAAATTTTCTTTTTCTTTTTTTGAAAAATCTTGATCTTGAACATTTACAGGTTACGTTTATTAATTTATAACAATTTTAACTATGCCTTTCAGCTAAATCTTTAATAATTAGGTGATGCAATGATTTTTATTTTAGGAAAATTATTATTATCTTTCTTCTTTGTTTTCGATCTTGATGCTTGATATTGATTATATTCAATGGTATTCTGATTGAATTAGTGGCATTGTGGAAGTTTTTAAGAAAATAAATGTAATTTCTAGAATATGTTTTTAGAATTAATAGTTTGGATTTAGGAAAAAAGGAAGGAAATGGTTTGGATCAGATCTTAAGAGAATTTTATAATTTGGGTTATGAAAAATGACATAGTTGATATTTAAAAAAATGTATATATGAAGGTGATTTGTCACTCTTCCATGGTGAGGTATTGAAGTCAGTGATGAAGCAGGAAAGCTTCATCAATTATTGGAATTCTCTGGATTAAGATTTTTAAATTCAAAGATTTGGAAGAAATGTGATACATGGTTCTGAATATGTGTAAATCACAAACATTTGTTTTGAGCTTTACACACACTTGATAAATTACTTAAAAAAGAAAAGTTCCCCTCTAATTTTAGCTCTTTACCAGCAACATTTAGTTCTTTCTGGTTGGTGCAGTTAGTTATCTCATTTAGTTCTTTTTCATTTAGTCCTACAATAATGAGATTGAAGGTAGTTTTTGAATGTCATAATGAGTTTATGGGACAAAATATTGATTCTATTTTCATTCTCTTTCAGATACTTGTTTTAGATTGTTCCGAGAGTAACAGACAGGACCTGGGAGGTTAAATCATCTACCTTTCTGAGAAATAATGGTGGGCCAAACCAGTTACGTTCCTCCACCTTATATTCCATTGAGTCAGTCAGAATCTGAAACAGAAATTGTAACATCCAAGGATGAGATACCTGCTCAGCAGCCTAAAAATGATGGACCGGTGCAGTGGTCTTCTGGAATCTGTGCTTGTTTCGATGATATGCCGAGCTGTACGCTACTTTCTGCCTTGTGATCTTGATTTATCAGAAGGAAAAATTGAATGAAGGTGCATTTTTGAGTAGTAAAATGAAAATAAACGATAAGCATAATCTGTGTTACATGTTGTGAGGGAAGTTGTATTTAGAAAATTATGTTTAGTGTTTCACCTTTTAGCTTTATAGAAGATGGAACACCACACATGGATTTCATGATACAGTAATATGGACGGCTTGGCTTGTATACGTTATCCAGGCAATGGTCTGCTGAAGTAGAAAATGCTTGTCTACTTCTTTCATAAATTGCTAATAAATTATGTATAACATGTTCAAGTCTTATCAAATTGACTGGACTACCCAAAAGTGGGGAAAATGACATTTTGAATAATGGATGAAAATAATAGAAGTCATAGCTCTTTACTGCAATGGCCTTGACAAATTGTCAGACACTTATTTATGCATTAAGGTAACCATCTAAATGAACCCCAATATCTAAGATGTGTTTTCAGATAGGACAAACAATCTCTAACTATGTTACTATCCCAGTGATCAATCCTCAATTGAAAAAGGAAACTTACTTTATAGAGTTTTCACCTGGATTTAAACATTTTTTTGCTGTGATATATATTTAAGGAGAAACACTGGATTACTGGGCTTATTTATTCTGTGGTTATTGTTTGTCTAACATTTGTCCACTTAAAGTCATTATAATTAGAGTAGTAATACTCTCAACATACTTTGTCATGATGCTATGGTGGTTGAAATTTTTTAATTTGGTGTTATTGTCAAATCTGGACATTTTTATATACTGTTGTACAAATGAATAGCTTGATTCGAATATTTCAACTGATATTCTTTTGATTCAATCCAGCTAGGAGGGAGTATTAAAATAAAATAATAATGCTATTAATAAAAATAGTGAATTTCTATTGCTTTCATGTTATCACACTTACAGTATAGCACATTAATACAACATGCAAATCTTCAGGATTTGTTGCTTTCTTCATGGAAAAGTTCTTAGCTTACATGCTGAGAACCATAACGTTATGTCTTCTAACAGTTTATTTAAGCAAATGTGTTGAAGGCTAGGTGCTTGGGGAATAACTCTGAGCTTCCTTTGAAAATATATTTAACAGGGTGTTTAAGTTTTTCTCTTAGAATGATAAAATTAGTCTATTGCACTACAGAATGAAGAAATATTGACTACATTGCACATTTGAAAAACTAATAAGGCCTCTAGATTGGTTATATGCATGTAGACCTTAGGTTCATTCTTCTAGAGACATAGTAGCCTCACATCTATTTATCAAGCTCTTGTTGGTAGGAATTAAAATCAGATTTTTAATAGATTTTGATAAAAGGTGATGAAATGTGTGGTTGAAAAGTTGTGGGTCCTATAAAATGTATTGTTAATATTAGTTGTTGATTTTGACTTAAATTAAAAATCTGAATTTTAATTTCTACCAAACAGGGACTAAATATGACATTAGCTTATGATGTGAATTAATATGTTTTTGAGTTAATATGACTGTGGTTTCAGTAGAATGTTCTATTTTGTTGTCCCAGATGATTTATATTATTACTTAATGTCCTAATAGTTATTTCCTAATTGAACTTTATCTTCTCAGGTTGTATTGGACTTGTCTGTCCTTGCTTCCTTTTTGCGAAAAATGCTGAGTTTTTGGGGTCTGGAACTCTATTTGGGTCATGCATGACACATTTTATTTTGTGGGCGCTGGTCAATACGCTTTGCTGTGTGTTAAGTGATGGCATTATATGGGGTTTACCTGGATGCTTTGTCGCGTGCTATGCTTGTGGCTACCGGAAGACGTTAAGATCAAAATACAACCTGCAGGTACAAGTAACATTGCTTTGCCACCAATAGTTATACAACAGGCATCTTCAATTGTCTATACTGAAAAGAAATATAACTTTTGTGTCAATTATGTTAGTTCTGCTTTTATCCTTCCATTTTATTCGCTTACTGTAATGGTTTTGACAAGTGATCTTCTAAGAACATGTTGATGATGGGTGGCTTGGTACTTTAATAATGGTGGTATGGTTTAGGACTTATGTTTTTTGATAGTTGACAAATTTGACCAATTTTTAGGCCCTAACAAGTTACTGCCTTCTCCAGTAGTTAGATCTAGGTCATTTGAATTGATCTCGGAGCTGTGCTCGTGGTGTTATCCGGATGATTCTGAGTTTACAACTGATTAATTGATTGTTTGTAACGAGGACATTGTGTACCTAAATTAGGTGTTTGAATGCACTCTCAAACATTCAACCATGTGAAAATTTATGGATTGGTTTGAGGAATTGATTTGGCTATTAACTGAATACTTGGGTTATATATGTTGGTCAATGGTCCCAGCTGGAAGTTTAAATGCTTGTAGTAGTTGGATCTAACTTGTTACAACTGGCTTAAGGACTGCCTGCTGAAGTGATTCTGAACTTGGACAACCAATCAACCAGAGTGCTAACCATTCGATGGGCCACCATCATTAGTTGAACTTTCAGTGGGTAGTTTGTAATCCCCTAGCCCTGCCCTTCTTCCATATCTGTACTAATAACGTATAGCGCATTTATGTACTGTTTAGTCCCCTTCATTTTGGAAGTTGTTTCTACCCGAGAAATTCATTGTTGGAACTGGGTTGGAACGACAAGTAGGTAATCCTTTTTTGTTTCAGTTTCATTTCATGGAGGCCTTGCAAGGTGCTTGAGACTTTTAAGGAATCATGCCCTACGACTTGTGTGCCCAAGAAAACCCTTTTCTCCACCACCTCGAGAGAGTATTGCACTTAACCTCAGAATTGTCTTCAACACATGTTGGCTTTGCCTAATAAACACTCATTTGGTGCACCGTATTAATTACAGTATAAATAATTTATATAAAATTAGAATAGATAGTAGTAGGTGATTGTAGGTGGTAAAGGATAATACATCTCATGCCAATTGACTTTTTGTTAGCATATATGGACAACATGCTGTGAAAATTGAATATCAGTGAGGCTTCAACCCGCGATAAGATTATGATGTCACAAACATTCAAGGGCGTGATACGCAAGTTCAACTGCTAAAGACAATTCGACACCATATTTCATTTGTGTGAGAGGGAAAAAAAAAGGGGGGGTCAGTAGTCAAAAATTTCTGCGTAAACCTTCAATAAATATCCTGAACGACATTAAAAGTGCAGGAAGGACTTCGTTTACCTGACCATTCGTAATTAATTCATCTTGAATAGCTGTTAACAATTACATCGGATCTTCTTAGCAAGATCAGTATCACTATTTAATAATGCAAATTATTCTGATATTATCAATTCTTTCTGGTGTTACATGAATCAATTATTAGCTTTTCCAGTGAATCACTATCTTCCTTGTGGGTTCTTAACACAGGAAGCCCCATGTGGTGATCTCTTCACGCATTTTTGTTGCCATTTATGTGCCATTTGTCAAGAGTACAGAGAAATCCGCGAAAGGTCTGGAGGCTCGAGCTCTTCTGACCTGAGCCTGGTGGAAGTTACTCCCCCTCCTATTCAGACAATGGAATCGGCTTCCACATAATAAGTTCGTCTGTTACCATTCCCTCATTCACCTTGTTTTATACTGTTCGCTTTGTACTACTTCTCATCTGCATGGGATATTTCTTTCCGTATCTGATTTTTCATCTTTTTCTCTCTCATTTCCTTGCAATATATAACTCTAAAGAACACTGCATATCTTATCACATTGCCAGATTTTGTGTACATCAGAGCATTAGTTTATGTAGGATCGTTTTGGCAATCTTTTGTATGCCAGTGAGCTTTTATGGTCTGTAGATAAAAGTGGGACGAGTGCAGAGTGCTTAGTTTTCTGGTTAAACATGCAGAAGAAGAAGATGACAGCGGTGAAGTTGTATTTCTAGTAATTTTTTCACATATTTTTGTTCCATCTTAAAGTGTACGAACTGCTTATGAAAAGTTCATTTCAGCTGTAACAATAGGATTGATTGTGACACAAAATTGGACCATTACCTAAAATTTGGTCTATATCGAACCTCCTAAGTTTCTACGTGGGCTGCACCACTATGTTTTGTACTGAAAGGGAAACAAGCACGACCAAACGAACTTCAAAACATTGTTTCATCACACGATCTTCACCGACAAAAATATTCTTTTCCACTTAGACAAATTCTAGTGCCAAGGCGTTTCAACATTTAACATAATTATTTTTAAAATAAAGTTATAATAAATTTAATATTTTAACCCTAAAATGTAGATTATGGACAAATACTTTTATTCCCGCATAGAATTTCAATTATTTAACAACAATGTTATAGAGACAAGCTCAAATACAGGGTTTAAAAAAAAAAAAAAAAGGATAGACACATGTCGAAGAATTATTGGACACTTGAAAAAAAAATTTAAAAAAAATCAGCCATCTACTTTCTGTCAAATTTTGAATCCTTTTTTTTAGCCTATCTGATTGGATTTATTCAATATTTAATCAGGATTTTAAATAACTAACATGACAATGACGAGTTTAGGCATTTGTGAAGCATAGTTTATAGCATGGAATGAGATGACGAAAACATATAATAATAGGAAAAATTGCAATCGAGGTACCAAACCTTTCATTTATTAGCAGACTTTGCCTAAACTTTTAGTTTGTGCCAGTCATAGTTCCAAACCTTTCAAAAATATGTACCGGGGGTCCAAATGGATGAAATCCATCCAGTTGACCGTTAGTTGACCAAGATTAGTAAATGTTAACCTATATTTGACTAAATTAGAAATGGTAAAATGGTAACTTGATAATTACCATATTAAATAAATTCAAAAAAATCAAAAAATAAAGAAAAAATCAAAAAATCAAAAAATTAAGAAAAGAAATTAAAATAGGGTCATCTTCTTCACCACAACCCACTCCACCGCACCGCACTCCACCGCCTAGCCCAAAACCACTGTCGTCCACGGCTCAACTGCTTGAAGCTGCATCCCAAGCTCCAGCAAAAAATGAGCGACAGTGTTTCTATGGGCCAAAAACCACGTTTCTATCGATCGAAAATCAGTGTTTTTCGGCCACCATTGAAGCCGATTTCACATGTATTCTCAACGAATGCTTTGCGTTTAACACAAAACGAATGGGAAAAACTTTACTGGTCCAATTTGTGAGTGCTTCTATAGATTTTTTCCTGTATCACTGAATGAATGGGGAAAACTTTACTGGTCAGGTCTATTACATTTTATTTCTGATTTAAATCGTTTCTTGATGATTTGGGGCCATGGAACTGCTTGTCCAGGGGAGCATTAACAGCCTGTAAATAAGTTAGGCTATGGGTGTTGAAGGATTGGCCAGGATTGGAGGAACAGCCATGCGCAGTGATGATTTTTTGTGCATGAAATATGCCTGATTTTCAACCAGTTATTGCTATTTTCTGGTATGGGATGTAGAGTGGGATTAGGAGGTGTTGGTGATGTCAAGATCCGGTGGTTTTTCGGGCATTGAGTGGGTGGTGGCGATGTCAATGGCTACCACGGTGTGGTTGGCCAGAGAAGGAGGAGGAGGAAATGTGGGGTGGGGTGGGGGCAGTATTAGTTTTGAATTTTTTCTTAATTTTTTTATTTTTTGATTTTTTTTCAATTTATTTAATATGATAATTATCAAGTTACAATTTTACCCTTTTCAATTTAGTCAAAATAGGTCAACATTTACTATTCTTGGTCAACTAACTGTCAAACGGACGGTTTCCATCCATTTGAACCCCTGGTGCATATTTTTGAAAGGTTTGGTACTGTGGTTGATACAAACTAAAGGTCTGGGCAAAGTCTGTTAATAAACGAAAGATTTGGTACCTCGACTGCAATTTTCCCTATAATAATATTGTAATTGTACATCAATGGAATAATTACCCGACATTATTGAACTTGTGGAGTTATTATAATGTTGTTAAAGTATATGACAAGAGTATTACTTTCGCAAATAAGGAAGTTCATATCTTAATTAATTATATTTAGTTAAAAGTACTATGAATAATTACAATGACTTGTGTTAAGACTTTACTATTTGGATTTTTGGAAATTTATGTTGCATATATGGTAAACAACTTTAAACCTAATCTTGGATGCTAGCTTTTCATTCTTGTATAATGAATTTGACGGGATTCAATATAATTAAAGAAGAGAAATACATGATGTATCTGTTCGTTGTACTATTTGTTTAACTTGATGAACTCGAATTAAGGTTAAATGAATAGTTTAATTGTCAGCTTTAGTTCTTGAAAATGAAAGGAATTTGAAGCATATTCGATTTTGGTTAAAAGCACGTAGGTTTCAACTTTTTTGAATATGCATTAACCGATTTACGTGCTAAATAAATAAGCACTTAAAAAAATTATTTTAAGTCGATTTCAACATGCTTCTTAACACAATATAATACCACCTACAATTATCGCATTTCATTAATTGTAAAGGCTAGATTGATATTTACTTCCATAAAAAATTCTTAAATATAATGTATTCACTTGTATATGTATGTATAATTATTTTTGAAGCTGTCAAACTTTTTAAAATTTTAAAACAAAAAATATGTATAAATTCAATCAAGATTCTTATAAACTACAAGGTTTAAGGTTTAGGATTTTTCACTCATGGCGTTGGTAACAATAATTTTAATAATTAAACAACCAATTTGAGGGAAAGCACAAGCCCTAATTTTTTTTTTTTTTAACGAGGTGTCCCAACTTGCGCCAGACTATATATCCTCGTCCCTGAACCTCCGGCCCCTCAGCTGCTCAGGGAGGTAAATCGCAGGATGTGCCCTTGTTGGTTCCCAGGTTCCCACATGGCTTTTACTCCTTCCCCAAAGGAAGCCTCCTCCATGGTGATTAATCCACCAATAATTCATTTTTTATTGGATCAAAGGTTCCCACCAGGAATCGAACTCTCCACGCTTGGTTCAAGAGCCCCCCAATGTGATTGTTCCGCCAACTTGAATGTGCTCTGGGGGCAGCACAAGCCCTAATTTCATATGATGTTAAGTTGATAGTGAAATATGTTTGTTTTTCTCATTGAAAGGTCTCAATGCCGAAATTCCTTTTTGAAAAGAATTAGTAACATAAAGTAACATTTGTTGACACCGTTATGCTCTTCTTTTCAACAAACTACTGCTTTTATGTCGACTTTCTCTCTCTCCTTGAGAATTTACCACGTTTTATATTTCACAAATGTAAGAGTATAAGATAGATCAAACTGTTCAGAACCTTTTTGAAATATTATAAACAAACTATTATTTAACCCGATTTGTTGAGTTTCTATCCTGGCAAATAGGTTGTTGACCTCCAAAAATGGCTAACAGATGTCGTTAGAAGATAGCGTACACGTGGATGTATTTCACAGTATGTAAACTATCAATAATATATTTGTAGAAGAAGATTAATAATAAGCAATGGGAGTATATTGTATCCCCTTGTTTTTAATTCTCAAATCACTTTAAATAATACAAGAATTGCTTATTTAAAGTGATCATGCCGATGTGATCACCGTTGGATTGGATTCACGTGGCCTGATCTGTTGACCCTTAGTGTCACATCAATTCTATTACATATTAATTATATTGACAGACTTTTGATAAGAGGTTAGCCGTCCTACAAACTTAGCCCGACATTTCTGACACTCATTAACTGCGCTCGTCACATCAGCTCACATCAATTAACTCTGAAAACGTGCTTGCCTAAACCTCTTCTGGTTATCAAGGACTTCGGATACTCCAGGAGTTCGATAGTAAAAGGTTAACCAACTCGGAAAAACTTAGTGCAACGACCTCAGCATATCATGTAGCAACCTTGGATGTTGATCCCTTCTACAACAATTCTTGGGTGCTTGCCACGTGTATGAATGTCAAGTTTCCACGTAGACTATTATGCATTGATCAGCAACACGGGTCAAACCTAACTTGTTTTGAAGAAGAAAGCTTAATTTTCATTTTTTTTTCAGTGATCGAATAACTATCAATAAACATGCCTTAATGATATATTGATATTTTCCTTACAAAATTACAAGAATGGCTCGGATATTCCTTTTTTTTTTAGCATTTAAATTATTTGCTTAAATGGATATTATTTATTATACAACGAATAAATGCAACCCAATTTATCTCAACTTTTAAAGTTATAATTTTAGAATCACGAGGTTTTAAATTCAGGTCTTTTTGTAATCCACTCGTGATTTTAATTGTGATTCTCACAAGTATTCAAAATATAATCACTAGAGTAAAAAATAGGCAATTTGGAGCATGCTTAAGTGTTTATCAAAAGTTTAAATTATAAATAGCTAGAAATGAGAGAACTAAATTTTTAACGAGTGATTATTTAAATAATTGACCCTAGTGTATCAAAACAATGAACTCATGAATAAGCATTTATATTCGAATTGTTTATCCAACAGTATACTAAAAACGTAAATAACAAGATTCATTGATTCATACATAATATATAAAATTAAATACAAAATATCTCATTTGTTTAATAACCAATTCGAGTGAATTTTATCCAACAATTCAGAGTATAGCCAACAAATTATTCTCGAAACAAATATTGATTTTCTTAAATTAACAAAAATAAATTCTCAACAATTATTTTGAAATTTAACAAAAATAAAACTCTAAATTTCAACTATATAATAAAATTAATGTTGGTTCGATCCCTAAATCAACGACATTTGTTTTAAGTCACGATAGTTTAGATGCTTGAATTTGCGAAGAATCACATTTATGTCGGATAATAGTTCAAATCTAACTTCATTAAGGCCATGTTTGATAATCATTTTTTCGATGGAATTAGGGTTGGGCAAATCTCTCGAATCGAACTGAACCAAACTCGAACTCGAACCGAACAAAACCTGACGGTTCTTGTCAAATTAAATACCTGAACGGGTATTTGAATTGAGAACTGACGGGTACGGTTCGATTCTCGATTTTAGACCAAGAACCGAATAAGAACTGAATCTTTCTATTTTTTATTTTTTATTTTTATATTGAGTAAATCAAATTATTTTAATTTTAATTTTTTCTAAACAAATTAATAAATTAACGATTTCTAAATCCAAATTTTTGGCCCAATAATTTGTTTCATTTCTAATTTTTTAATTTTTAGCCTAATTACCCATTTTATTGTTTCATTTCTTAGCCAAACAAGATTAAATCCACTAAATAACCCTAAACACCTACACTAAAGTGCATAACGTTTTCTCGACTCTCGCACTCACTCTCGCAGCCTCGCTAATATTCCAAAACCTATACAATCGTCGGTCGACACTGTGACCTCCGATTGAAGCTGTGACCTCCGCCGATCGAAACTTTGATCGTAATAATCATTTGAACATGGTAGTTTACTGGTCTCTGATATTCCAAAATCATTGAATGTATCATTAGTTATATTTATAAAATATTGTTATAAATGTTAAAAAATTTAATTATAGTACAGAATCGAACGGAACGGAACGGAATCGAATTGAACCGAACCGAACCCGAACGGGTCCATAATTATATTTGGACCCGGCAGTTCCATTTACTAGATACCCAAAAAGTTTGGTTCGGTTTGGTTCTCTTTAGAATCGAACCGAAACGACCCACACCCACCCCTACATGGAACTTGGAAATCATTTTCCATTTCCATTTAAAATTGGTTGTTTGATTGCAAACAAATTCCATGGAATTGGTTTTCCATTTCCCACCCACATGACCCTCTTTTCTAGCCTTGGTGAGAAAATGATTTCCAACTTCTTCTATTTTTTATTTTTTAATTTTAAGCAATGGGAACAAAATCTATCAACAATTGTAAAAAATAAATAAATAAATAAATAAATAATTATCCCTTTAATTAACAATTTTCTTGTAAAACAAGACCAAACAAACATCAAGAGATCCAAAATTTCTACATTTTTCAAGTGAAAAATTATACCAATCAAACACATTTAATTGACAATTCTCAGGAAAATAAGTTCTAAGCAATTCCATTACCTGAAATTCATTTTCTTTCAATCCAAATTTTATCATTGCAATCAAACGAACCCTAATATCATAGTTTCAATACTCAGATTCCTAATTCCCATTTATGTATCAATTACACAAATTAGGTTTGAAGTTAGGTCTAAAACAATGAAATAAATCTCGCTTTAAAATAGATTTTTTTCAACGTGGGATCAATTTAGGACAGGTGGTGTGATGTGTGTTCAAAGGGTTTCTCTTTGAGTTTTGAATGTTGAATTTTCATAATCATCAATAGCTTTAAAATAAAGATTTTCAGAAAAGAGAAACATATTCTGTGTTTTTGCTCTGAAATAATAATGTCAGGAATAAGAGCAGTTCAATGGGGACTCCCACGACAACCCACACGTGGGGTTCTCGATTTGCATGCACACACACACCGTGCACACCATTACACATATATAGATATAGAGAGAGAAACCTATACATATATGGAATATATAGGTATGGTTAAGGTTTCAAAACTTGGACCCGACTCAAATAATGTGAGGACAAAAGAGGGTTTGTTAAAGAAACACACATTCTGTTCCTCGTCACTGTCTCTTGAGGTTTCCAGTCAGAGAAAGACCCAACCTTTTTTTTTTCTTTTTTTTTTTCATCTTTTCTGTTTTAAAAACCTTAAAAATGAGATTACTTGTGTTAATTTAGTTGAAAAAATTCCCCTTTCTGCTTTTGTAGCATTATACAAGCAATAAAGGAATGAGTCAATTTTTTTAAAAAATATCCACTCGATTTTCTTGTTAGATTGTCAATTTCTGTGCAAGCTTTTTTCCTAGATTTGCAGTTAATGAGAGAGATTTCCTGTGGATTTCAAGATTTGACATTTATGGCCTCTCCTGAGATGGGGTTTCACTATTTGAAAGCTCCATTGCAAAATCTGAAAAGACCTTGGTTTTCTCCTCCAATGGAAGAGGTAAGACCAATAAAGTGGGAAAATGAAGGCACTGAGAATGAAGAAACTGGGAGAAAAAATGGACATAAAAAGATATGTGCCAGAGGCCATTGGAGACCTCATGAAGATGCTAAGCTCAAAGAACTTGTTTCTCGATATGGTCCTCAAAACTGGAATCTCATTGCAGAAAAGCTTAAAGGAAGATCAGGCAAAATTATTTTTCATTTTGAACATGTTTAGATTATTTTTTTTTATTTTCTTTTTTTGGGTTGACGCTCTTAAAAGCCATCTTTCTAGGCCTTCTTTTGCCATCTTTCTAGGCCTTCTTTTGATCTTTTTTTGGTAGATAAAAATGTATACAGCTGGCTTAGATAAGCACTTAAAAAAAGTGCTTTTACTAACTTGTGTGAAAATTTTATGAGCTACTTTTACTTATAAAAGTTTTATGCTTAGCCGATTATGCTTCTTATTGATTGGTTTTCATTTATTGATTGATCTATTCATATTTCAAACACTTATTTCTTGATTACTATTTTCATTGACAATTTTCAGGGAAAAGTTGCAGATTGAGATGGTTTAACCAGTTAGATCCAAGATTAAACAGAAGTAGTTTCACTGATGAGGAGGAAGAAAGGCTTTTAGCTGCTCATAGAATGTATGGTAACAAATGGGCTATGATTGCTAGGTTATTTCCTGGAAGAACTGATAACGCAGTCAAGAATCATTGGCATGTGATAATGGCAAGAAAAAATAGAGAACAAATGAGTGTTTATAGAAGAAGAAAACCCTCTTGTTTAATGGTCCAAACAAAGGGATTTTCTTTAAATAACATACAAAATAATGCTTTCGGTGAATCAACCATGGTTAATGACAAAGTTGTTGATGAATATGCTGCCTCAACCTGCATTGATCTTTCCGTCACTCCTTCTTCTGTTAAAATGCCTCAGTTTTTCAGCAGGTTTATACCTGTCCAGCGGCACAATATCTTGGAATCAAAGATAGGTATGAGGATTTTTGTCTTTCTAAGTCTTGGACATTGGAAAGTCTAATTACACTGTAGACTAATTATTTCGACTGTGAATCGACCTAACATTCCTTCTCTTAGGAGTCTATTATTTTTAGTGGGAGAGGCATTTGATCACTTCGTCATATTCCTTTTCGATATAGGGAAATTGGCAAAATAGACGTAGTTTCCAAGTTGAGGACGAGCTGGAATTAGTAGGAATTAAGTCTTAAATAAATTATGGCTTATTTGTTTATATGAATCCCTTTGTTTAACTTGATTTCCAGGTTTAACAAGAGAAGAAAAGGTGCTGGTTCATAGTAATGGTCAGTACTATGACTATGAGAATGAGCCAACGGAAAATGCTGCAGAAGTGGATCAAACAGGTCACTCAGATTCAAATTCTGATGTTACTGAAGCATCTGAATCAGTAGCCAACAATATGGCCAATCTTTACATGTTAGGGGAAAATAAGAATGCAAAATTTGAGAACAACGCGTTCATAGATTTTCTTGGAGTGGGAGCCACTTGAGGAATACACTGCATGTACAGTAAATTCCATAAATGGAAAGAAATTACAGCAGTGAAAAATCTTGAAAGAGTGGTTGTGGGGGTGGGGGGTGCGGGGGAAGAGGATTCAGAGAATCCATGAGGAATATAATCATGACTTGCAAAATAATTCCTTTTGGAGTTATGTTCTTGTCGATTTTCTCTGTTAACTAATGCAGTAAAAAACTGCTGCTTATATTAAGGAAAAGTAATTTTTTTTTTCTCATTTTTCTTTGTTGCCTACAAACACTGAATAATCAATCAATGAATCTGCATTTCTTTTCAATTTCATGCTATTGTACACTTTTGTTGACTTTATCTGAACCTTTGTGTTTGGTTTTTGCATATATTTGTCCTTTCATCCCTTGCATTTATTAATGATCTCTGTGTGAACGTAAATGGACTGCACCACTTGTATGGTCGATAAAATTTCTTATACACTTTTTCCTTATTTCTTTGGGAATATTTTTCGGATTACGGGGTATTATAAAGTTTTGCACTGGTTATCAACATAATTTAACCTATTCTTTTATAGATTTTGAACGGTTATAAAAAGTATAGGAGAAGTTGTATTGGATGGAATTTATAAAGATACAAGGTTATTTATGTTCGAAATAAAAAATTTAGTTAAAAGAAATTGAGTGCATACTTAAACGTAAATATATGTTGTACTCACGTGCTTGTGGCATGTATAGTCTTAATTTTCTCCATTGAGGACTATCAACTCGAAAGTCCGTTGAAGTGTTCATGAGAGACACCTAGAGCGAATTGATGTAATTGGTCGACATCGTCATGATTGTAGGTTTTCTTGACTAGTGTAGGCTTTCTTGACTAGACTCCTTTTATAATAAGAGTCTATTTGAAAGTGATTTTGAGAATTGATTTTTGGATCGTTCGGAGAAAAGTGAGATCCACTTGTAAAAGAAAAAGTTAAATATGACGGCTGGAATAGTGAAATAACGGTCAAAAAATCAATTTTTCGAGTGAAAAAATAGCTCCCAAATAGGCCCTAAGACAACATGACTTCAACTCTATACTAAGCCCTTGTTTAAGCCCCATTTTGGAGGAAAGAAATTTTGAATAGTGAATTGATGGAGAATGTTTAAATGTGTGGTTAAAAATTATGAAAATGTTTTGGGTTTGCTTGTAATATTATTTTATTAAAAAATATGTGGTTGAAAATGAATTTTGAAAAAATGAATTTTTAGAATAATGGAACTCAAACAAGGACTTAAGTGCGGACCAAGAACAACCAATTTCTAGAGGGCAAAAAGCACTTATTCTAGAATTCATTTAGCTTGAATTTCAGAAATAATATTGTAACTTCTCAAGACAGGAAGTGCAAACTGTTAAGCAATTTGTTGTCAAATGACTTAACGGGCTATTACGTTATTCGGTTTTAGTTTTCAGTCAGTTTAGCCAAATGACTAAACAGAAATTATAATACACAATCGAGACGATACGACCCAAAGGTTAATTGGGCTATTTGAAGCAATCTAAATATTTTAGTATTGCTCATAACCCAATCCACTTTCTTGGATGGCCATAATTGAGAAAGTGGAAATTACAGATTTCCAGGTGTTTAAAAATTGGAATTCTAAAATCAAGATAAAAGTATTTTTGTTCTAAAATAAGGTTTGAATAATAACTCCAAACCCTAATTCAATTACAATCCCTAATTTATTCATTCTCCACTCCCACTCTCACACTCACTGTCCATCTCCCTCTCCCTCTCATCTCTTCCCCCCTGTCACGTCGCCTCTGCCGCTGTAACACCAGCCATTGGACCAACGATCTCCACCACGTAAGCAGCACTGGCGGTGCGTTGTGATGAAGAGATCGGAGATGGCGGTTGGTGTGGCTGCCTGCTGGGATCTGTAATCTCCTCGATTGGAGACGGTGGTTGTTGTCGCCGATGGTTCTGTAATGAAGAGGAGATGACACGGTAATGCAGATCCGTCGCGTCGCCCCGAAGCAAATCCCAGCGCTGCCTCACTTTTCCCATACCAGTTAGCGCGAAAGAAGCTCTGCACCGCCTCGAAGCAGTCCCACTCCGACGACTCTTCACAGGCGAAGCACTGTACCAGCGCGGAGAAGCAGAAACAGTTTGGGTTGCTGGCGATTTTGTGGGTTTGGACGGTGTTTTGTGTGGTGGTGGCGGGTTTTGTGGCGGCGACTGTGGTGGTGAATCTGGCGATTTGGATGGGGTTTGGATAGTGTTTTGTGTAGTGGTGGTGATGTGTTTGTATGGTGGAGGTTTTGTGGTGACGGCTGTGGTGGTGGTTGAATTTGGCAGTGGTTTGGGGGTTGTTTTGATGGTGGTGTGGTTTTAGATGGTATTTGTTGGTTGTATAGGTAGGGGCGCTAGCGTCGATGGTGGATCAACGTTGATTTTTGTTGGCGGTGCAGGTAGTGTTGACGGCAGTGGTGGTGCGGTGGTGATGGTTGTGGTGGTGGTGTGGTGCCAAGGTGAGGGTGGTGGTGGTATGTGACCAATTATTTAGTTATTTGTGACCTAAAAACTTGATAATTTGTGACTAAAAAATGATCCGTGATCAACTAATTCCAAAATCTATGACTGACAAATAAACTGTGACCTCAAAATTCGATAACTTGCGATTTAAAAATAATTTGTGACCAATTAATTTGAAAATATGTGACCGACTAAAAAACTGTGACTTATAATAATTTTGATTTGTGATCAATGAAAGAATCCGTGACCAATTATTTTTATAATATATGACATTGTGCTCTTAAAGTACATATCTGTGACCATAAATCTTATAACTGTAACCGTAATATGCTTCATTAATAAAATATTTTTAATTAATTAACACAAACCTGATTTTTGCATTTTAGAACTTTAGGTCTGGAATTTGAATTGGTCATACTTAAAGCCCGATTCATGAATTTTTCCCATTGAGAAATATTACTTGTGAGCCATTTACTTACTTATTGGGCCTCTACTTTGACCCAATAGTTAACCTAGTTATACTTACCATACTTGGGCCACTTTACTTGATATAATGGGTCTCGTTTTCTCTTTGTGAAGAATCTGTCCCCTGCCTCTCTGTGTTCGGCCGTTTGCAAGATTTTCTTCTACTCTTCTGCCTTCTTTTGATTTCTACCTCTAATGGTGATAATGTATAAGATATTGTGCACATTTGTGGTCTCCTAAGTGATTGGCAATCGGAAATGGAAGCTTGATTATTGTCTTGGGTCGTCGTTGTCGGATTGTGATGTTTGTAGTTGGAAGAAACTGAACCTGAGCAAACTTTGGTGCTCAATTTACGTTCAACACAAACAACAATAATTGTTAAATACATATGACGTTTTAAACTATTGCTGATAGAAGAAATTGCGACAATATGACTTCCACTCAATTCGAAGATACAAATTTCAAGGATCCCTAACCCACTTCGACATATTAGAATCAAAAGTTTCCCCGACATTGGAATAAGTTCCAAGTGTCATCAAAGAAATAATTGACTTGACTATTAACTTTTCATTAAATTAATTGTCGAGAACAACAGCCAAAATACAAATTGGAAAACAGTCCTACCAAAGGTGCACTTCGATTTCCAATATAATACCGAAAGCTAGCTTGTGACTACTTCATTCCCCGTACGAGTGAAACAATAAGTTCTACAACTGACTTCAGACACTAGTGTTACAATATCTAACACAACAAGAACATCAGAGATAGGGGAGATGTTTTGCACGCTATTTGCAGCACAAGTCTCACATATACTACTATTCTTTTGAATTATTCATGTGCATCCTCACTTACTTTGTTGACCTCAAAAAATGAGCCAATAGAGTTTCGATCACCTTCCCTCATGTAGATATTCCTTGCGCACTGGAACATCCTATTAGAAGGCAAATATCGCCGATTGAGAAAAAGGTCCGACGATCGTTTAGTGAAATGGGCCCAAGATGCAATTGTTTAGTTAAATAGGCCAAATCAATTAAATAGTCAATGTGATATCAATATATATGGGACCCCCTCCATCTGAGCATGCCACATAAAGTATAGGTGGAATAAACCTAAGTACCAAAAAGTCCTTCAGAATTGCATATCCACCTTTTCTAACAAGTACCAATTAGAGTAATCGAATTTCATTCTTGTAATTAACTATAGCCTGTTCATTTATGCTAGTTGATCAAATGTCCAAAATCTGTCTTGATGTTTTCTAGTTTCTCTCCCTCTCCTTTTCTCCATTCATTTTTTTTTTCTTGGGCTATCACTCAAGGGTCCATCATTTTGAGAAATGGATGTTTTATGAAAAAATATAATTAATGAAATTATGTAATCAAGCCTCAAAATTTTAGAGATAAGAGAGCCAATGAAGAATAGAATCAAATACATAACTTCAAAATACTATATTTCGGGCTCACACGTAAATTAGAAATCTATATAGAAGAAGTTTTAAGATAGTTAAATACTTCTAAAAATGGTCAAATTTTATTTTTAACCACATATTTCAATAAACTCATAAGTGCTATTAATTTATTTATCACCTAATTTTTATTTATTTATAAATCAAATCGTTTAAAAAAAAATCAAATGAAAGCTTACAAAATGAATGAAATAATGACAGTACAAGTGAAAGTGTTGTACTTCAAGACTCTGCGATGCAACTAATAGTCTCCATGACGGATACTACAGCTGGATCTACCCAGGCCCAAAACGGCCCAACAGTGAGAGCATATCCAAAATAAAGATTAAAATGGGCCTAATTGGGCTTCATTGGGATGGTGTGTGAGGATAGTGATACAAACCACAATGTAACATTTGTCACAAAATCTTTATAAAAAGAATGATAAGATATGTGACTCTTGAACCCTTAGAAGGTGGAAAAAAAGGAACTAAACTAATTCTATCTCGTTTTAGATTCATGTAAGATAATGGTGGATACCACATAATTAATAAATAAAAAATATATTTTTTTCTACTTAAAAGTAGTGTGAATTAATGGTGAATTCCATTAAATGATTAGGTTTTTTGATAATAATTAGTATGTCATGTCATATTTAGAAGATCAATTATACACACACACGGGGCATAGACTTCTACTGATAGGCAACAATGAAGATTTTTTGATATGGCAAAAGCTAATAGAGGAATGTCGCGTGGAGTTAAAAGTCCCATGGATCGTAAACTTCTTTTTTCGAAAAAGAAGCAATGATGGATTTAGGGAACAAGCATCTGTCAACTCTATGCGAGTGGTCGGGATGCTTAATGGCACTTCACCAA